TGGTCCCCAGAGCCTGGTGGTCCTCGCCCTCCCTGGGCCGCAGCTGGCCCCTTAGCCTTGCCGCCCACCACAGGTGCCCGATGGCTTCATCTCCCATTTCTACTCCGTATCGGAGCACGTGAGCCCTGTCCTAGCCTTTGGCTTCCTTGGACCCAAGCCCCAGCTCGCCGAAGTCTGTGCTTTCTTCAAGGTAAACTCAGTGGCTCCCACTCTTCCCGGCCCTGTCCTGTCCCGGGCGTGGGAGCCCTGGCCGATGCCAGGAGTGCAGTGGGGGCCCAGGTGGGTGCAGGGGAGGCCCCAGGAGGGGATGAGTCTGAGGATGGGTTGGGGCTTTGAGGGTCTGGGGGACTTTATGGGGCAACAGGGGCTTGGGCCAGGCCCAATGCCAGCCCTGTACCCCCAGCACCAGATTGTGCAGTACCTGAGGGACATGTTCGACCTGGACAACGTGCGCTACACGTCGGTGCCGGCCCTGGCGGACGACATCCTGCAGCTGTCCCGGCGCCGCAGCGAGATCCTGCTGGGCTACTTGGGGGCCCCAGTGGCCAGCAGCATTGGCCTGAATGGGGCGCTGCCCCGAGAGAACGGGCCCCTGGGGGAGCTGCAGTAGCGGGGCACAGAGACGGCCGCCTCCCTTTTGGGGTGGCATCCAGCCGCGGTGGCCAAGGGCACTCGTCCTGACTTTGCCCCAACCCCCATCATCTGGGAAGCCCCCAGGCCCAGGGGACAGATTTCCGTTGAGAGGCGTGGAGCCCCTAGGGCCCCGCCGACTGCCCTCAGCGGTCCCTGGGGAAGCAGAGGCCGGGCCAGCGGCCAGCAGGGCCTGCGCGAGAGGAAGGTGTTGTGGAGAATGGATGTAGGCAGAGCTGGGGCGACCTGGGTGTGGGCCCCAACCCGTTGCCTCCCATCACCTCAGGGCTTCCCACGAGGGGCCTGGGAGGGTGGCGGTGAAGGGTGGCACCAGAGCTCTGTGGTGAAGGCCAGGGTGTCCCGAGCTAGAAGCCACTCACGGCTGCACAGCTCAGAATCCAGGTACCCGGCCCACCAGTCTTGGTGGCCTCCCCACCTGGGCCACCTCTCTAGAGAGTTTGGAAGTCCAGAGAGCCAGAGTGGGGGGTGCTTTGGTGGGCAGCAGGCCTGGGCCATCCCGAGGTGGGACAGAGGTGGGCCTTCTCCTTGTGTTCATGTCTGCTCAGGGACTGGGCCCTTGACAAACCCAAGCACCAAACCAGGATGCTGTCCTTCAAACATTCCCTCACCCTGCCAAAGACTGTTTCCTCTCCCACCTCCGCCACCACCAAAGACGAGAGGAGGTGGGGTGGGCACGCCCGTCCCCCTCCACCTCCCTCTGTGAGCCCGGAACTCCCTGGGCGGTGCTAGGCTCTGAGCTGAGGGCTCTGACCAGGGGTCCCTCAGGCCAGGGACCACGTTGGGGAGGTCAGAGGATGTATGTGGCTGGACCAGCTCCCCAACCCTCAGTAGGACAAGAAACTTTGCCTGGCACTTTGCCTTCAACGCACAAATGCTCGGAGCCTGCAGGGGTGTGGAGCCGGCCGGTCCTGCTGGCGGAGTCCAGTTAGCATCTGTCCCCGCAGCCATGTCCCCACGCCACAGGGTTCCCATCAGCCCAGCAGACTCAACTCCTCTTAGAGGGTTTTCACCCGAGCTGGGAAGTTTTATTTATTGCCTTAACACTTTATTTTGAGGTTCTGCCCCTTTCCAGGTTGAGACCTGCAGGAGAAAGACTCCCCGTCCTGCCTCTCCATACTTGAGTTCGCTGTGGGCAGGCTGCTCGCTCCCCAGTGCCTCTGCCCCGCATGGGAAAGGTGTCCCAGGGGTGAGAGGGAGGGCACACCAGGGGAGGGGATGAGGGGTGATGCTGGGTGTGGCTCATCACCTCGGGGCCAGGTCCCCAGACCGCAGGACCCATGGGCACCTCCAAGACCAGTGCCCAGAGGGAGCAGCCTCCTGACTGAGCAGTAGGGACCCCGCACCCTCCTCCCCTCCCTCCGGACATTCCGTTCATTTGCACTTACCCCGAGCTGTGAATGTAATATTGGGCCTGGGCCTGGCCCACCCTGATTTGCTCCCAAACCGCACAGAAGTGGCATTTTTGTCTCGTCCTCATTTACACGTCATGCACTGCCTGCAGCACTTGATTTGTTGCAGCTTTCACCTTTTATACGATAGAGCGTGTGCAGCGGCTGCGAGTCAAATAAAGGATTTGAACAATTTCCTTCCATTTGGCCATGTTGTTGGTTATGTGCATGGCTGTTTGCTTCTGGGCCAGAGCAGGGCACCTGTTCTCTGGAGTGCAGAGGGTGGAGGCTCCAGGAGAACAGAGGTCAGGAGGAGCCTGGTGGGGGCTGAGCCCACTTGGCAGCCTGACAGGGTCCGCGTGTCCCTAGGCAGGGCGGTCCCTGGTGGTGGGGGTGAAGGATGGGGAGTGGCCAGTGTTGCACTCAAGGGCACAGATGCAAGGTGGGCAGCCTGGGTGTAGATCCAGCCCAGGCTCCACCTTAGGGACATTGCTTCTCTCTGGGCCTCAGTTTCCACATCTGTGGACTGGGCCAGGGGTACAGATTCACAGGCCTAAAGGCTGTTACTATAACTGCCTGAGTCATGGGGCAGGGGGGAGGCCGACACAGGTGGGAGCGACCCAGTCTTCAAATGTCTTCATGGGCAGTTGGAAAGCACAAGTTTTTTTGTTTCTTTCTTTGAGACAGACACTCTTGCACAGCCTAGAGTGCCTTGGTGTCAGCCTAGCTTACAGCAACCTCAAACTCCTGGGCTCAAGCAACCTCTTGCCTCAGCCTCCCCAATAGCTGGGACTACAGTCATTCACCACCATGCCCGGCTAATTTTTTTTCTCTATATTTTTTAGTTGTGCAGCTAATTTCTTTGTATTTTTAGTAGAGACAGGGTCTCGCTCTTGCTCAGGCTGGTCTCAAACACCTGAGCTCCAACGATCATCCTGCCTTGGCCTCCCAGAGTGCTAGGATTACAGGCGTGAGCCACCATGCCCTGCCTGAAAGCACAAGTTTTACTTGAAAGGTCATTGAAGAAAACTGTTTCAGATGTACAGAAAAGCTGTAAAAACCATATAAAAAACACCCATAAAACCAACACCTCCAGTCAGCAATTAACATTTTGTCATATTTATTTCACACATTTCCAAAATGTTTTAGAGACGTTTCAGACATGTACGTCACCCCTCAACCCTTAAGCAAGCAGATGTTAAAAATCAGGTAGTTCTTGGCCGGGCGCGGTGGCTCACGCCTGTAATCCTAGCTCTCTGGGAGGCCGAGGCGGGCGGATTGCTCGAGGTCGGGAGTTCAAAACCAGCCTGAGCAAGAGCGAGACCCCGTCTCTACTATAAATAGAAAGAAACTAATTGGCCAACTAATATATATAGAAAAAATTAGCCGGGCATGGTGGCGCATGCCTGTAGTCCCAGCTACTTGGGAGGCTGAGACAGAAGGATCGCTTGAGCCCAGGAGTCTGAGGTTGCTGTGAGCTAGGCTGACGCCACGGCACTCACTCTAGCCTAGGCAACAAAGTGAGACTCTGTCTCAAAAAAAAAAAAAAAAAAAAAAAAAAGGTAGTTCTCTGGCATAACCACAATACCATAATCGCACCTAAAGAAACTATCAGTCTCTACGGGGGAGGGGGGCATGGGCAATACATGTAACCTTAACACCTCTACCCCCATAATACGCTAAAACAAAAAAAAATGCAATAATAGCATGTCCTATATTTACATGGCGCCTTGCATTTTCACAGGGCTTTCAGTCAAAGACTGGCTCCTTGGTGATGGTTTTGCTCATTTCATCAAATGTAAATTTGCTCCTTTTTTTGAGTTCTCTTAATTCATTGTTAATTATATTTGAGTATTTATTATGGTCAAAAACAAAAGCTATCAGTCATTCTCTAACATCTTTGCCAGGATTCTGAAAAGAGCTTTTTCCAATCAACTGGGGACGGACTCCATTTCCACTTAGATAAATGCTCAAATCTTTACTGATTAGAGACATGAACTAATACAGTAATCCCCTCCAATGCTGAAAAACAAGTGTGTGTTTTGGTTTGTTTTAATTTGTATACCAAAACTTCACCTGCTTGAATGACTTTCAGTAAATTAACAGGCATTACCTGTTAACCAATTACCACAGTGTAGTTTTAGAACATTTCCATCACCCAGAAAAGACCGTGTGTGTCACGTGCAGTACATCTTCCAGGTCACTCTGTTCTCTCTAGACTTGCCTTTTCTGAGCATTTCCTATAAATGGAATCACACGATATGTGGCATTTTGTGCTTGGTTTCTTCAGGTAGAATAATGTTTTTGAGGTTCATCCATTTTATGGCATGCATCAGTATTTTATTTCTTTGTTGCTGCATAGTATTCTGCAAATGAGTCTTTTCCCTTCTTTTTCAATGCCTCTGTGGACTCACAGGTTTTTAATTATTTGGTACTTTCCAGTCAGTTAACAGAGACACCCTGGCCAGCAGCCCCAGGTCACTGCCAGACCTGAGGGAGGCCTTCTCAGGCCACAGGGCCCAGCTGAGCGGCCAGCTGCACGAGGACCCCAGCAGAGCCCAGCCAAGACTGCAGATCTTGGCGTAAAAAGGGGATGGTTGTGACACAAGGGCAGGTAACTGAGCCCAGCCCCCTTGTTGAGGAAAGGAGAGATCCTGAGGGGTGGGGGCTGCGGCGGTGCACACAGCACCTACATGGCAGCCCCAGGCTGGACACCCAGGTCTCCCGAACCCCAGCCCAATGCGCCATCCGCTGCCCCGTGGCGTGAGCTCGGTCACGAGCAGCTGTGGGACTTTGGCTGGCATCCCCGGCCGTGGGCTGACTCCCACGCGGTTGTACGGTGGGATCTCCCAGCGCTAAGTCTTTGGTCTGTGACAGGCTCACACCAAGTGCTCAATGAGCAGTGGTGTGAGTTACAACACAAATGGCTCCCAGGACGCAAGCACAAACGCGACAGGGCAGTTGCAGAATAGCTATTTATTTACTGTGCACTTAGGGTGTGCCGCACCTTGTGCCAGGTGCTGCCCAGGCAGGGGTGGAGTGCGCTGGGGCTTGCACCGCCCGCTCTCCAGGGGGCGGCGAGGCTTCCCAGCTTTCTCAGAGCAACAGTGTGATGGCAGCTTGACGGGGCCCAGGAGGGAGTATTTACATGGCAGAAGTCAGCAAGTGCTCCAGGCAGCCCAGGGAATGAGCCTGACCATTTCTGTCTCAGGGATTTGGTCCCAGGGTGCGTGGAACTCCAGGCCTTGCCTTCCAGAAGCTTCTAAGACAAAGATAACGAATTTCTCTCAGAGGTTTTGACAACCAGAACTATCACTTCCAGTTTGAGTCCATTTGTCTTTCTAACTGGCGCCTTCAGGATCCAGGAGTTCTACAACCTCCACGTTTCGCGAGGGCGGCGCACGGCTGGCTGTGCTCCCTCTTCGTCCCCGACTCCCACACACTGTCTGGCTCGGGCGGCAGAACGCAAATATTTCCTGAAATGAATGTATGCACCTCTAATCTAGAGGGCAGCATCTGCTATGTTTTGGGGAAACAGGTCCAGACAGGGGAAGAGAATTTCCTAGGGCCTTGCTGGGACTTTGAGCACAGACCAGTGTGGCCAGGGTGCAGTGCAGAGTTAGGTCTGCACCTCTGATCTCGAGTCCGCCTGTCTGGGAACTCCCTGTCAGAGGAGAGGCCAGAGGTGAAAGGCCAGATGCTGCCCTAGGTCAGCTGGGGCTCTAGAAGAGCTGGGGTCTCAGGACGCCTGGGACAGTGGGAGGAGATGGCCAGCAGTTTGGTTCTGAACCTGGGCCTGCCAATCAGGTAGACCTGGATTCAAACCCCAGCCCTGCCACGTACCAGCCAGCTGCCTGCGGCAAATGTTGGCCACTCTGAGCATTACTGTCCTCAGCTATGAACTGGGAGCTTTAGGAGCTGCCTTTCAGCGCTGTTGTGAAGACAACATGAAGGACTAGGGATGCAGCACCTCACAGGCTACACAGAGGGACATGAGGAAGACCCTGGTCTAAGCTCAGCTCAGAGGGAGGAGGCAGGTGGCTCCTGCAGCCTCCCCTGGGGCTCCTCCCTCATCCACACGGCAGGTCTGTGTCATTTCTTCCATCTCAAGGGACCTTGCGATGGCTCCTAGCACATCTCCATCAGAAATGAACTCACAGGTGCACCAAATATGTGCACAAGGATGCTCACAACAGCACTATTCATAACACCCTAAACCTGGAAACACCCCAAGTGTCCATCAAAGTAGAATGGGACGACAACTGTGGTATGTTCACACCATGGAATATCACACAGCAAGGAGAGGGAACAAATTTCATCTAGAGGCCCCAGCACAGCTGACCCTCACAGCCATAATACTGAGTGAAAGAAGCCACACACTTCCTGCGAAAAAAGCACCTACTGTTAGATTCTGTTTGTAGGAAGCAGGAAACCAAGGCAGACCTAATGTGCAGTGTTAGAAGTCAGAAGTCACCTGGGGTGACTGGAAGGAGTGTTGAGGGGTTCTGGGGTCCTGGTTTTTGAACCAGTAACTGTTTAAAGTGTATTTGGTTTGTGAAACTACATCAAGCTGTACACGTTTGATTTCTGGAACTTTCTTTATGAATGTTATATTTCAATTTAAGCAAAAAAGCAAACCAAAACAACCAACCCATCCTTCTGAGCTCCCCTCTGTCCTCTCCACCAGCAGTCCCCTCAAAGTTTCAGATGGCCAGGCCCCTGCCAGCTTCTGCCTTTCCTGCACCTGCACCCTCCTTCTTGAACATTTCTTTTTTATTTCTTTTATTTTTTTAGAGACAGGGTCTCACTCTATTGCCCAGGCTGGAGTGCAGTGGCTCAATCATAGCTCACTGCAGTCTCCACCTCCTGCCTCAGCCTCCAGAGTAGATGGCACTACAGGCATGTGCCACCATGCCTGGCTAATTTTTAAAATCTTTTTGAAGAGACAAGGGTCTCCCTATGTTGCCCAGGCTGGTCTTGAACTCCTGGCCTCAAGGGATCCTCCTGCCTCTGCTTCCTAGAGTGTTGGGCTCACAGGTGTGTTGCACATTTCACTGAGCCACAGTCCATTCTCAGGACACTTGCTTATGCTGCTCCTTCTGCCAGGACGGCCCCCCCCCTTGGATAATCCCACTCATTTTGTAGCTCCACATCCTCTTCGCTTCCTCAGGACACACTCCCCCTTAGATAACAGGACTCCATGGTCCGACAGGCCTGTGCTTCAGGGACTTTGCCTCTCCAGGCCTATTTGGGAGGGGCAATGCGGCCCAGATCCAGGATAGCCACCCTGCCCTGGTGAACTATTCTGGGAAACTCTTGGCCCACTCCTCACACCTCCTGCTTCTCAGAGGCTAATAATGGCAGTGCCTGAGGAAGGTGAGGGCAGGTGACAGGGAAGGGGGGCCAGCTGACCCAGACAAGCCCAGGCCGGGCCAGGTTGGGAGTGAGCACAGCTGAGCTTAGGGCAGGGAACCTTCCTGGCTCTCCGGTGGGTTCTGAATTGCCATCATCTCCCCAGCCCACTCAGGAAAGAGGATGCAACCGTGGGAGCCCAGTGGAGGCCCCTCACTTTGCCATGGAGATCTGTAAGTGGGAACAGACACTTGAGCCAGATTTGGCCCGGCAAAGTAGGGCAGGAGGGGTAGTGCGTTCCAGGCAGCGGAAAGGCATAAGCAAAGGCTAGGAGACGGAGCCGAGGCCAGTCCTCCCCCGCGCCCACGCCTCACCTGGACAGATTCCATCTAGCTGGAGACACAGTGGGGGTATGAGAGGGAGAAGTGGGTGGGAAGGTGTCGCTGTTTACACGGGAATGTTCTGGGAAAACTGAGGGAGGGGTGGGAAACCGACTTCTTGTTTCAAGTACTCCCAAGATGCTTCATTAAGTAGCATAAATGTGACTGAATCAATACATCTTTGCTAAATGAATGAAAGAAGGACGGAGTCTTTAACTTCAATTACGCTTCCGTTCGGTACAGCGCCGCTGTGCGCCCCGCCCCAGGGGTTCCCTCCCCCACGCCATACACTTCCACCAAAAGGTCGTTTACTCTGCGTGACTCTCGCCGCTCAGTTTAGCGCAGAGGAAAATGAGCCCCCTGGGTCTCCGGCCTCAGCTTACTCATAACAAAGTGGGTCGCCTCAAACCCTCTAGTGCCTAGGTTGCCTTTCCGCATCAAACATACGCTCTGCTGGGCCCGCAGGCCCCGTCGGGGTCCCAGCGAAGCCTTCTCTCCGGGCGCAAGTCCCAGCAGAACCAAAGCTCCCACCAAAGTTCAACACGCCCCCCAAGCTAGTGGCTGATTGGCCCGCCCTGTCTACACTTTGAGCCAGCCTCGCCTTCCGATTGGCTGTTATGCTCCCTGTTCTGTGCTGGAACCCTCCCCTTCCCTGATTGGCTAGACACCTACCTGTGCTCGTCCCAGATTGGGCGCCAGCTGGGTCGGCTCGCTGGTTCCCAGGGCCCCCCCTCTCTGATTCGCTGTTCGGGCCAGCCCCACGGCCTGCACGCTGAATGGCTGCGCCGCTACCTGTATCGGCCTCCGATTGGGTGCACGGCGCCTCCCCGGCGTGATAGGTCAGGACCACCGCCCCCCTGGTTCCCGATTGGCTGCTCGGCGAAGCCCGGTCTCCGGGTAAGATGGCAGCGGACGGACAGTGCTCGCTCCCTGCTTCATGGCGGCCGGTGACCCTCACCCACGTCGAGTATCCTGCAGGTAAAAGGCAGCCCCGGCTCCGAGGAAGCCTTCCCGGGGCCAGCCCCTCAGCCTCGGGCGCTCCGGCCTGTGCGAGCCCGCGGAGGGGGTTCCGGGGGACCCGGGTGGGAACTGTCAAATAGTGAGCCATGGAGGGGCTCGGCCGGCGCGCGCGCCGCGCAGGCGCAGTGGTGCAGGGATGAGCTGGGCGAAATTGTGAGCCGCTCGCTCGCGCGCTCTGCGGCTGCGCGGCCGGGGTGCTCTCTCCAGTCGCGGGGTGCGGGTGGGCTGAAATGGGTGGGGGTCTGTGTGAGGCGCGAAAGGATCACTGGCCTGGACCTTGGCCCTTCTTCCCCGCCCTCCCCTGAGCCGGAGAGGCGGCACTCCTTCCCCGGCATGTAGGGAATGCCTGTTTCCTTCAAACAGCACTTTGGGCTGCCTGTAAGAGAAAGAGCTCCTGGTTGCAGGGAGTGTGTAAGCTGAGGCCAGGCTTTTCAGTACTTGTGGTGCCACGCCCTGAACAGGGCACAACTCCACAACAGAGGGGACCCTGCGAGGGGGCAGGCGCCCCCTCCGGGATCCTGACTTCTGGAACGTCCCATCAGATACACCTCTTGAAGCGCAGGGTTTCCAGTTGGGAGGTCCATTAGTAACCGTTCTGGAGGCGGTCTAGTAGAGTCGTGCCGTCGTGGGCCGTGGGGTCGGAGCTGTCTGGGCTCGAGTTGAGGCTGAGGCCTTGTGCAAGTGCCTCCTGGGCCTCGGTTCCTTCATCTCTAGAGTGGGACTAATTACAACGCCTCCTTTCTGGTGTTGGTGTGAGACTCGAGTAACAGGAGTAATGAGAAGGGCTGAGCCCAGTGCCTGGCACACAGTAAGCATTCAGTGAATACCTGCACCCAGTGTTGTCCTACCTCCCTGGATAGATGATGGAGTGCCAGGTAGGGCTGGGGCCCTGTACATGAGCCCTGGTTGCCCCAGGAAGGGCCTGCTCATGATGCTCTCGGGCAGAGCTGTGAGAACCTGGCCCTACTGAGGGCCTCAGGGCTGGATGCCAGAGAACTTTGCACCGTGTGTTCTGGAGGTGGGGCAGCCCTGCCAGGTGCAGAGCCCTACCCACCTGCCTGCCCACCGTTCGTTCATCCATTCATTCAGCCAGTATCCACTGCGTACCTCCTGAGTGCTAGGCCTTCGGCTGGCCCCCAGCTGGCCCTGGCTTTAGCATGATCAGTAGGTCTGATAGGTCCCTGCACTCCTGCACTGTGAAAAACTCCTACTTTGTAGGAGGGAAACCAAAGCCTGGAGAGAGAAAGACTTGGCTGAGACCTCTGCGCCTTCATGACTTCCACTCCCTGGCCTCAGAGTAGCTTCTAGGAGTGCTCACAGTCTAACAGGTGAGAAGGCCTCGGGCATTTGTGATGGTGCAGGCTGTAATGAGAGACCTAGCTGAGCCTGGGGTCATCTGGTAAGGCCTAGTCCCCTGTAAACCCTTCTGTGGCCCCTGCACTACTTCTTCACACCCCTTATCACACTGATGCTTGCTTCCTTCATCCATTCATTTGACATCTTTTTTGAGCCCAGTTAAGTGCCAGGCACTGTGTTGGGATCCAGTGATAGAGAGGAGTGTGAAGAGACCCCATCCCCACTCCCACAGAACCATTGTAGAGGGAGAGCAGACACTTTCCCAATATCCACAATAACTAGTGAATCATGAACTGTGTCCTAATGACAGATTGCCCTGCCAGACTGAGAGCAGGGGGGTGTCTATCTTTTTTTGCCACTGTGGTGGGTAGTTAATTTATGTTTGCTTAGTTAATCCAGACAGCATCCCAGGTGGGGGAAACTGTATGCAAAAGTCCAGAAATAGGACAGAGCATGGTGCATTCAGGGTACTAGAGTTTGGTCCCTGGAACTGGATAGCAGAGGGTGGGAGGAGAGCAGGGCAAGGACTCTGCAGGGCTGGGTGAGCTGGGCTTTGTCCCAAGGGCAGTGGGAGTCATGGGGGTCTTGGATCAGAGAGTGGCAAGGCCAGAGTCCCTGGCAGCATCTATAGGAGGGCCCCAGGGTAGTGCTGGCTGTGGCACAGGCCATGGTGATGGCCAAAAGTTTGGGGGCACCAGCCACTCCTTGTCCTCATAGCCCAGGGCTGTGGGTATGGGCGGAGAGGCCGACTCTCAGGGCTGAGGAAGGCTATCCTCTTCATCTGGGTGGGGAGGCAGAGGCCCAGGATGGGGAAGGGATTCATCCAGTGTCACCCAGAGGGACTGTGGCAGCGCCAGCACTTGAACCCAGGTGCTTAACTTAACCAGGCTGCCCTATTCTCCTAGGCCAACTCCAAGGCAGCCCGATCCTGGGAAGGTACAAGGCCAGGCATGTGTGCTCCCATCTCTTCAGGCCTGGAACCTGGGCTCAGCCCTCTGTGCGCACCTGCCCTGCTGCTTGTGTGAGGCCAGGCTGGTGGTGTGGGCCACTTCCCACACTGGTTCTCTGCCCCAGCGTGGCACTGTCCTGGGTGTCAGGGACCGAGCTGGGTGTCTCACAGGCCCCACCACATCAAGTCTCAGACAGCTGTAGGAGGTAGGCACTGCTGTCCCTGTTCCACAGGTGAGAGAGCTGAGGCTCAGGGAGGTGAAGTCCTTGCCCGAGTTCATGCAGGCCTCAAAGATGGTGCAGGAACTGAACCATGCCTTCAGGCCCCAGATTGGCCACATAGCTGCCTTGTCTCAGGTGGCGAGGGTGGCCTTTGGATTCATCCTCAGCCCTATCCTTGGGCAAGGGAGAAAGTGGCTCTCATCTCTTAGCTTCAGTGTCCACAGCTCTTAAAGGGGCCAGTGGTCCTTATGATGCCTCCATCTCAGGCCTGTTAGGAGTGTAAAAAGCAGGTAGTCAATAGGTAGCCAATTTCTTGCTAGTGGCAAAGCAGAGAGAAGCTGTTACCACAATGGGGAGCCCTATGGGTGCAGTCCCTGTTGCAGTCCTCAGTGTGGCCCCAAGTCTGTGTGGTGTGCAGACTCCCCTGGGGGCCCTAGGCTCAGTGGGGGGCCCCTCAGCCCAGCACAGCAGGGTGCTGCAGAGGCCCTCACACACCTACCTCTGTAGTCAGACAGGGCTCAAATTCTTGCTGTGGCAGGGGTGAAGGGTATAGTGTCTACACCAGGCCAGAGACTTGGATGTTAGTCCAGGTCCCAACTCTTCCTGGTTATGTGAATTTGGGCGAGTCACATTCCCCTTTGGGACTCAGTTTCTTCACCTATAAAATGGGGACGGTAAAGGCAGCTGCTTCAAATGTGTGACAAATGAGCTTTAGAGTTCAGTAATAGACGGTCACATTATGCCCGTGACTAAGTTGGCATGGTCAACCGTTAAACTGAGGCGTCCGTTGCTGCCCTCTGTGCTCCAGGCTCTGCCGGGACCTCCTTTCTGGCTCAGGCCTCACTTGACTTGCCGGGGTTTGGCCCTCACTTGCAGGGGCTGGTCCCTATTCTGATGCTGTGCCCAGTCCTCATTCTGTTCCCTTCTCCCCCAGGTGATCTCTCTGGCCACCTCCTTGCCTACCTGAGCCTTAGCCCTGTATTTGTCATCGTTGGTTTCGTGACCCTCATCATATTTAAGCGGGAGCTGCACACGGTGAGTCTGTCCCTACCTGCCCCCTCCAGTGCTCCCCAGTGTCCCCTTCCTCCCAGGTGCTTTGCCTTCCCTCCCGTGCCCTCACTGTCTTAAAGTGTGTGGAGCCCTCTAGCTGCTTCCAGGTTGCTCACTAGTTGGGCTGGGCTGGGAGGTTCAGTCAGTGGCCACCATCCTTGGGCCTGGGTGCTGGCTGGCGGGTTCACAGAGGCCCAGCTGACCACACGTCTTCCCCAGCAGATCTCGTTCCTGGGGGGCCTGGCACTGAACGAGGGGGTCAACTGGCTGATCAAACACGTCATCCAGGAGCCTCGGCCCTGTGGAGGTAGGGCCCAGGCTGTGGGGGCCTGGGGGTCCCCCAGGTCGGGGCATTACTGGAGGGCCACATCCTCCCATGATGCCTTGGTCTCTTCTCTCTCCCAGGTCCCCACACAGCAGTGGGCACCAAGTACGGGATGCCCTCCAGCCATTCCCAGTTTATGTGGTTCTTCTCCGTCTATTCCTTCCTTTTCCTATATTTAAGGTGAGCATTTGCCCCCGCTGGGGTGACCCTGAACTTGCCCAGGCTGGGCTGTGTTGGGAACTCACTGCCTGCCCTTAGGACTCCCCTTGTGGTGGGAGGAGCTGCAGCCAAGGCAGAGGCGCCCAGGAGCATTTGAATGGGGCAGGGGACTGTTTGGGAAGCCTGGGCTCCAGGCTGTGGGCTGAGGCCATCTGGCGGGCCTGTTTTCCCAGAATGCACCAAACCAACAACGCCAGGTTCTTGGACTTGCTGTGGAGGCACGTGCTCTCCCTGGGGCTCCTCACCGCGGCCTTTCTAGTCTCCTACAGCAGGTATGGAGGGAGGGAGAGCCCCCACCCTGCACCCTGCCCCTTGGGGTCCTGCTGGATTCTTGGTCCCTGGTGGACCCCATGTGGACCCTACTGCCAGAGCCTGTAGGGCAGGGCTGGGAAAGGAGCCCCTGGCCTCTAGTTTTAAAGGGATGGGGCCTCCAGCTGCCCCTTCTAGCCCAGTCCTGGCTGAGCCCAGGATTCTGAGGACACCTCCATGTATCAGTCATCTGTTCCCCGCATTCTGAAGGAGCCCATTGCAGACAAACTCAGAGTCAAGGGCTGGACAGAGGGAGGCAAATCCCAGCCAAGCCATCCTTTCACTTCTAGAGACAAGAGAGCTGCAGCTGGGGTCCAGTGCCCCCAGCTGGAAGTAGGAAGTAGATCTGAGGCTGTGTTCCTGGGAGTCTGCGTCCTATTTGTGTGTCTCCTCTTGCGTGTGCACAGGTCCCTGGGAAGTTGGCACCTGGGCACGGGGGATTATTCAGGCCTGTCTCTGGCTTACTCTCACAAACTTCCCTCTGGCCTTCGCCCAGGGTCTACCTGCTGTACCACACCTGGAGCCAGGTACTCTATGGAGGCATCGCTGGAGGTCTCATGGCTATCGCCTGGTTTGTCTTCACCCAGGAGGTCCTTACTCCGCTGTTCCCCAGGATAGCAGCCTGGTAACTGCCTGGCCCCTCCCACCTTCCCTGGCACCGTGGCCCCTGCACCCTCCTGCCATGGGCTGTCAGTGGGAGGACCCGGGAGTCCTGACTCCAGCCCAATCTCTCTGGGAGCCCCCATGCCTGGGCCCCGCTTGCCTGACTTCCATCTCCCCCAGGGGTTTGCTGCAGGGACATGGGGAGGGTTCTTCCAGCCCAGGCACCAGAATGCCATCCTCTGTCGTTGCCTAGGTTCTCAGGGACTTATAAAGCAGCCTGAGTCTTGTTGGGCTGTGTGTGCCCTGGGACAGTGCCCCTATCTGAGGCGACACAGGTGACACAGCTGGGTCTCTCAGTGGCTCTGGGGTCTCTGGCCAGGCAAGACTCTAGGCAGTGGGGCAGAGTGCAGCCCTCGGCACTGGTGGGGGTGTCTGGCTTGGTGACAGCCGGTGCCCTGATGCAGCCCTGGCTTTCTGGGTGTCTGTCTCTCCAGGCCTATCTCCGAGTTCTTCTTAATCCGAGACACAAGCCTCATTCCCAACGTGCTCTGGTTTGAGTACACAGTAACCCGGGCAGAAGCCAGGTGAGTTAAGTGGGACACAGCCCCCGGATGTGCACTGCCTCCGTATTTGGAGGGCTCCCAGGCACTTGCCTAAGCACTTCTCTTGCATTGCCCCCTTAGACCTTCCTGTGGCATCTGTTTTCCAGATGAGAAAATGGAGGCTGAGAGAGTAGAAGGGCAGTCCCTTGCCCAAGACCTTGCAGATGGTGGGTAGGGGAGCTGGGTTGTGAACCCAGCTGTCTGGCCCGGAGCCCATAGAGAGCTAGGCAGTGAAGAGGCTCAGGGTGCCTGTGTGTGGACATCTCTTGGGGTTGTTTAGTCCAGACACTTTCTTTTTTTTTTGAGATAGATTCTTACTCAGATTCTTGCCCAGGCTAGAGTGCCATGGTGTCAGCCTAGTTCACAGCAACCTCAGACTCCTGGGCTCAAGCAATCTTTCTACCTCAGCCTCCCAAGTAGCTGAGACTACAGGCATGCACCACCATGCCCAGCTAATTTTATTTATATATATATATATATACTTTTTTTTTTTTTAGTTGTCCAATTAATTTCTTTCTATTTTTAGTAGAGACAGGGTCTCGCTGTTGCTCAGGCTGGTCTCAAACTCCTGACCTTGAACGATTTGCCCTCTTCGGCCTCCCAGAGTGCTAGGATTACAGGCGTGAGCCACCACGCCCGGCCCAGACACTTTCTTGTAGCTGGGTAAACCGAGGCACTCTGGGTTGGGGGCTGGCCTACACGGCAAGTTGGGGCAAAGCTGGGCTTGGAGTCTCCTGACTCATGCTCTTTCACTCACTCCAAATCCTGGGTGGGGCGCCTGCAGGGTTGGGGCGGCTGGCTCCTCCCAGTGTTCACAGGGCAGCGCGGCTCCAGAGGAAGCCTGGGAGGTTTCTGAGGAGGGGTGAGAGGAGCCCTGGGCAGGGCAGGGTGGGGCGGCCTAGCAGCCAGGAAATGTGTTTAGTGCATCACGGTCCAAATTATGCTAACAAGCTTAAGGCTGAAGCCTGGGATCCGTGAGGAAAGGGGATTTGAGGGCCAGGGCAGGGCAATCCCATTAGTGGCAGAAAGGCCCCAGCTGGCCTGGCTGCGTGCTCCACCTGGCTCCCCGAGTGGCCAGACCGGCCTAACCCTGTCCTAACTAGCCGCCACCTGCCTTCACTTACCAAGACCCCAGCGTGCACCTGTCAGTGCCAGGCCATGTACTAAGGTAACAGACAGGGGCAGCCCTGTGTCCACCCTGTGCTCTCAGCAGACAGTGGAGGCACAAGACACGATGCACCTACCTGTGTGATCAGTCGGAGCCGTGGAGTGAAGCTCAGCGGCTTGAGAGCTTGTGACAGGAGGCTGATGTGGGGGCAGGGTGGTCGGGCTGGCTCCCAGGACCGGGGCGTGGAAGCTGGGGGCTGGCAGGGGGAGTTCTCAGCTGAGGAATAGCATGCGCAGAGCACCTGAGGCAGATGGCCTTGTGAGGCCTCGGACAGAGGCCAGACAGAGGCCGCTGTGGCTGGAGCCCGGGGAGCAAGGAGGAGGAATGTGAGGGAGGCTGGGGCCAGATCGCGTCTGACCTTGTGGGCCATGGTTGGGTTTCTAGATTTTAATTGGGACCCTGGACAAGCCCCATCCTCCCTACTGGGCCCCAGTCAGCCCCTCTAGAAAATGGGGGTTATTATCCCTACTTCCCCCAGGTTCCTGGCCATTTTGGATGTAGCCACAGCCCAGACCTGGTGCCCGATTCCTCTCTATAGCCGCCATCAGTGGTTCTCCCACCTTTGCTCACAGACATCCGGTGGAGAGCGCACGTGGCCATCCTTTTGTGACTCTGTCTCGGTCGATAGGAACAGAACCCGTGCATGCTGGCTTGTCTGTGAGGGGGACTCCAGCCAGGTCCCTCTGCTTCTCTTGTCTCATCCTGCCCCCACCCCGGCCCAATCTCCTTGCTCCACTTCCCGGACTCCAGAGCTGAGATATCTGTGGTACAGGCCCAGCCAGAGACAGTGACCCTCCCTAGGTCCCCGTCCCAGGGCAGAAGCTCCAATCAGCCCCATGTGGGTCAATCACTGGCTACTAGGGGTGGGCATTTGCCCACTTAGTTGAGACTGGGGTGGGGACAGCTTGTGGGGGTAGGTCACTGAATAGGTATCCCCACATCTGACCCCCACCCCATTTTGCAGGAACAGACAACGTAAGCTGGGGACGAAACTGCAGTGACTGGTGGGTGTGGCTGGGTCCAGCCCCCAGATCTGGCTTGCACCATGCCTTGCAGGATGGACAGAATGACAGACAAGGGATGAAGCAGAGACCTCTACAGACCCAAGTCACCAAGTGGAGCCTTTTTTTTCCTTATTTTAATTTTAATGAACAAGGTGGACCAAAGGGCCGAGCCAGCCCCTCAACCAGGACCCTGGAGGGCCTGCTGCCTGGGGCCACACGGCCAGAGACCCTCGCTGTGCTGCTGCCAGCCCCCGGCCCGGCGGAAAGTGCCCTTGCTGTGGGCACCTGGGTGTGGGGTAGAGGAGGAGGGCTTGAGCCTCTGGTCTCAGAGGTGGCGTGAAAAGTACACACTATTTATTTTTTGGTTTTCTCAAAGGCAGACAGGATTTTGGAGATGGGGCTAAGAAGAGCCACTCTCCAGTGGCTGCCCTGTGTGAAGAGTGGCCCAGGTCAGCCCCCAGGCCCTTCACCCTGAGTCCAGGGGGCAGACTGCCTCTCCCTGGGCCCGAGGGATGGCCTGGGGGGGTCAGGAGGAGGGGAGCATCCCCTGTGCCCTCCCTGCCACCATTGCCATTCCAGAACCTCGTTCAGTGTTTCCTTGTCTGGGGGCAGGGCCCAGAGCGAGCACGCGTCTGGCGGCTGCTATTACCTTGTTCTACCCCTGATCGACGCTACACCACAAGGGCTTTCTCTGGTTCCCTGTCCCCAAGACAGTAGTCCCTTTCTGACAAAAGAGCCTGCACGTGAGGGTGAGCAAACCCAAGCTGTTTACAGCTCATCCTGTCCCGCCGTCTAGCAGCAGTCAGTCCTCGTCCCACTCGAACAAAGTGCAAGGGACAGGAGCCAGGAGGAGAGGAGTGAAGCAGTGGGTGCCTGAAGTCCCCTGCCCTTTCCTCTGTGCTCTGAATATGTCCTTGTCCCTCCTCACCCACCTCCGACTGGCTGGGAACCTGTTTGGGGTCATCCTCGAGCCTGTGTCCTGGGTGTGGGCTCAGATCCCTGCCAGCCCAGTTCAGAGGAGCCTCTTCCTAAAGGGACCCATCTCTAAGTGGCTCTGAAACAGAGTTGTGGACAGGAGATGCTTCCAGGCTCTCAGAAGTTTCAAGAACTGAACTAGGCCCCTCGGGATCTGTGTTTGAATCCTTCCCCCCTCTTTTTATTTCTTTGTGGAGGTTTCCTAACCTGCTGCTGAAGCACAACATTTTGGTGCTTTCTTTTCTCATTTGTTAAAGACAGTGTCCAAAAGCCATTCCGGATGCCAGGACCAGGGGCTTATTTCTAGGGAAGGTAGGTGAGTTCCCACATTTCCCTCCTCTTCCCTTATTATTTTTATTTTTTACTTTTTGCCTGAGACAAGTCGAGTGTGAGGTGGTTTGATTTAAGAAAAATCAATGAAATTATTTACTATTGTTTTAAAATAAAATCTTAAACTCTGGCGGCTTGAGCACATGTTGACCGAGCTCATGAGAGGAGGCTAGGAGTGGCTGTGGAGACATGTGACCCTTATGGGCAATGATATGGTGAAGATCATAAAATCATAACCTTTGGCCGGGTGCAGTGGTTCATGCCTGTAAGCCTGGCTCTCTGGGAGGCTGAGGCAGAAGTATTGCGAGACCAACCTGAGCAACACAGTGAGGCCCCCTCTCTACAAAAAATTAAATAATTAGCTGAGTGTGGTGGCACACGCCTATAGTCCCAGCTACTTGGGAGGCTGAGGCAGGAGGATCCCTTGAGCCTGGGAGTTGTAGGCTACAATGAACTATGATCAGGCTACTTGAACTCTAGCCTGCGTGACACAGTGAGACCCTGCACCAAAAAACAAAAATCATAACCATCTCAAGGATAGCTATTTTCTTCCATCCCCCTGGCAGGGGGTTTGAACGACCTCCCGACATTTTCCACCAGGGTCTGTCCAGCCTCTGGTTACCTCTCTCCATGGAGCCTCACTGAGGCCCACTGTCACATACCGGATGCTCTTCAGCTTTAGGAAGTTTCAGTCTTGATCTCCCTCTCTGTTCTAAGCCTAGCTGCTCCTGTGCAGGACAGCCTGAGGACGGGGACAGCCCGCTTGCCTTTCCTAAGGTGCCAGGATAAACATCTCCACTTTGTTTAATTCAGTTCTGCCTGGCATGTAGATGGGTGAATATCTTGCTTTGGAAGAAATAACTGCAAACCAAGCTGGGTATTTAGAGCCTTGTAGCAGTAAGATGACTTGAAGTCAAACCCAAGGGCTGACCCAAGTGGGGGAGTCTACTCCTTGATCCACTGAGCTATGGAACAGCTACACCCTCAGGGTGAGGGTGAGTCAGAAGTAACCTCATCCTACTGTGGGTTTGAAGGCTGGGTCTAGGTCCCCCAGGTGGTCTATAGAACCTTAACATTCAGTTAAGGTGACTTTAGACTGGTAGTGTGTGGCAGAAGCAAACAAATTTCTGGAAGAAGGAGCTTTCATCCTAGACTTAAAATTATTTGTCAAATAGTTTTTAAATTATAGTGAACAAGATATAGACAAAGATGACCAGGTATGAAAGGCAACAAGACACCATGATTGAGAACCAGCAGAAAACGGATAGTAGATGCTAGCACTAGAAATTTCATCCCTAGCCACAGCGCCACTGGCATAACCTTCAGACCGTAGGATTTTTAAGCTCTCTGTTCTGTAGTAGCATGGTGACACTCTCCCCAGCAGATGCCTCCCTGCTGCCTTTCCAGAGACCTTTAAAGCGCTTGCTTATTCCACATCCAGCACTTGCAAAGTGAGGTGTCAAGAGGAATTACTAAATTTCATTGTTTCTTTGCCTTTCTTTTTCCTATTAGGGGGCCAAGTATTCCATCTAACAGTGACTGATGCTGTTTTAGATGCTGATGTGTCTTCCCCAAACACCACTTTGTGGCTCTAAAAATCTGGGGGGGGGGTTCCATATGATGAGACCTGTGGCAGCTCAGATGTCCAGGAATGCCCTCATTTCCGAAGGGTAATTTTTGGGGAAAAGGATCCTGCCTTACATATATTCAGACCTATGTGGTTCTTGGGTGACTTTCAGGATCCTGATGGGGTGGCTGCCTCTCCTATCCCCGCCACTGCCCCAGGCTGGCCTGGGCGTGGCCCACCCCAGTGCTGCTCACACCACTCCCTCAGTGCCTGCTGTGACCCCTGCCTCCTGGTCATCCCAGTGAGGGTACCAGGACCCAGAGGCCCAAGCTCTCTGGGTGGCAGAGCAGAGCCTGATTCTCTTCCGGGTCAGCCTGTTCACCCCCCCCTCCTGCCTAGGGGCGCCACTCACTCCCATGTCCAGGCTCCCCCTCTCGTTCCCTGGGGATGTGGGCAGCACCCACCTTTACATGGTGAAGAGACTCGGCCAGACCTGGCGGGCCCCAATGCCTGATCAAAACCCAGGCTTGGCTGTTTCTTCCTGTGCCTCCCAGGCTGTGGCCCTGTCCTCTCTTCTGCCTGAGACTGGAGCAGTTTCCACTCATGGCCTCCCTCTTTCTCCACCCCCTGCCCCGGGACATCTGGGTGGATGTGACCTGGGGCTGGGGGACCGTGGCCTTTGGGAACCTCTGCTCTGCCATGTAGTGTCCTGGTGACCTAACTAAGCCTGTTTCCTCATCTTAAAAATGGAGAAAAGCACAGGTCCCACCCTCACACGACTGTTGCAGGTCAGGCAGGCGTGAAGCACTCATGCTCCCGCCCCACACTGCCCGGTATCCACCCTTGGTGGATCCACATGTGCCTTCCTCAAGGGCCAGTGTCCCTCTGAGACAGATTCTCCTCTCTCTGCAAACAGAGCACTTGACTTTGCCAGGACACTCTGCTTCTACCAGGTGCATGTGGTTGGGGGCAGGTACATGCTCTGTTCAGGTGGCCGCTTCCCCCAGAGGACCCCTAGCAGTGTCTCCCCAGGCAGTGGCTGGGCTGGGCCGAGCGTACTCACTTGACCGCAACTCCTGCTGGGCGTAGGTGGGGCGCAGCCACACTGCCCAGCCCGTCAGACCTGGGCCTACTGGGACGCGAGGTCCCCTGGGAGAGCGATCCCTACCCGCAGTCCATGGCCCAAGCCAGAGGTAGGTGGGAAGTTGCTGGTGACGAACACAGCCCTGGGTCTGGTGGGCCAGTGCCCTGAGGTGGGAGCTGACCCTTGGCTCCCTCACCCAAGCCTGAAGATGACTCCTCTGGGAGCCACAGGGCCCACTGGCTGCTTAGACATCAGCTCCCAGATCCAGGGAAAGCTGGATGAAGGCAAGGGCAGCTCCTGGCCCACCCTTCCTGCCCCTCAACTGAAACACCCCTTGTCCAACACATCTCCCCTTTATTAATCACCCTGCACGCTGGTGTTATACAACCTTAAACGTGGTTCGGGAACCAAGCTGAGTAGAGGCAAGAGGGCCAGGGCTCGTGGCCGCATCATCCAGAAGAGCGTGGCTGCCCTGCAGGGGATGGGGCCCGTGACATGGCATGGGCTGAGGCAAGTCCTCGGGGAGGCCCAGAGCCCCTCGGCCCCAGATGCAGGTCCTTGGGAGCTCAGGGATCAGAGTGTAGCCCTGGCCTGGCCTGGAGGAGATATACATGTGGCCTCTGGGAGCAGCCAGAGCTAAGATTGTGAGAAAAAGAGCCCTTGTCAGTCTCCTGCTCTGGCTGGGATGGGCTAGGCTGGTTCTCCTCCCCAGAGGTGGCCTCAGTGGATGATACTCAGGGGCCTGGGCCTTGCATCCTGCTCAGCTTTTGGACTCAGCGCCAGGCCTCAGGCCGCAGCAGGTGCTAGGGGTAACCCATGCAAGGCACTTGGCTTGGGCCTGCAGGCCCCACTGGAGGATGCTGTCCCTGGCTCAGTCATGTCTGGGTGGACCAGGGAAGAGAGAACAAAGGACTTGAGCCCTGGTGGGTGGCCCATCCCAAGGTGCACTTGGCTGTGGCACTGGCAGGCCTGAGGCCGGGGGCTCAGAGCTTGGCCCGAGGAGGCTGGCCCTGCAGCAGGGTGCGCATGTCTAGGAGTGCCTTCTCCAGGTAGTGCGCCAGGCGGGCGGCGTTGGTCTCTGCACAGCTGTTGTAGGCGGACAGGGAGAAGTTGATGTGGGCCTCCATGGGGTTATAGCAGACACCGTAGCCGTCTGGGACCACAGGCCCAAAGAACATGACGCAGTCTGTCTTGGCAGGGACCTGGGGACGGCAGGACTACAGCTCTCATCTCTGCTCTGCGGCAGCACCATCCTGCCTTTCACGTCTCGGCTCCCCTGTGCCCCGCCTGGGACACCCCTTCCTCTTCTCCAAAAGGTGCGTTACTCCCTCTCCTCCTTAGTGGTGCAAGCCTGTTGTCACCTCCTCTATGGAGCCTTCTTTGACATTCCCTGAGGTTGGGGGCTCTAGCTGCTCCCCCCCTGCGACTCCCCTGAGCCTTCAGCACTTTCCAGGGGCCATTCCTGCCTCACTGCCTCGACTGCAAGCCCCTTGGGGGCAGGGACTGTGGTCCGTCCCCTGCTGTAGCCCAGCGCAGGCTGGCATAGACCAGACGTTCGTTTCCATCTTACCAGTGAGTGAATGGAGCCAATTCTCCCATGGGGGCCCTGACGCCTTCCTAGCTGCCTGGGCTGCAGAGGCCCCTCCCCTAGCTCCTCCTCTGTGATTCAGCTGCTTTGGCAGTGGGCCCGTGGTGGCCTGTGTGGGTCACCTCACCCCGAAGATCTACCTGCCAGAGGGTTCTCCCCACTGCCTCCCTGGGTCCCCGGAGCAGTGGCCCACCTGGCTGGTGGAGAGGTGGAAGTGCATGGCGATGGCGTAGGAGGTGTCCATGAAGATGTCTGGCATGCTCACCAGGTCCTCGATGGCCTGCAGCTTTAGGCCCAGCAGGTGCCGGTCGAAGCCTTCCCCTCGGATGGCCTGTGGGGGTTGGGGGCTGTCAGGAGCGGGGGCTGCAGGTCCACAGGGCATACCTGCCCTCCTCAGCCTGTGGCGGTACTGCCCCTTGCAGTCACTGGCCCCTTGGTCCCATGAGACCAGAGTGTCCAGGCAGGAGAACCCTTGCTCACAGGTGGGGAAACTGAGGCCAAGGGAGGGGCACAGATATGCCTAGGGAGGCAGGAGAGTGCAGGATACAAGAGCACAGGCCCTGGCCAGGCATGGTGGCTCACGCCTGTAATCCTAGCACTCTGGGAGGCCGAGGCGGGAGGATTGCTCGAGGTCAGGAGTTCAAAACCAGCCTGAACAAGAGCGAGACCCCGTCTCTACTATAAATAGAAAGAAATTAATTGGCCAACTAATATATACAGGAAAAAAAGAATTAGCCTGTGGCACTCACTCTAGCCTGGCCAACAAAGTGAAACTCTGTCCCCCCCCCCCAAAAAAAGGTGCTATGTAGACCGGGCATGGTGGTTCACGCCTGTAATCCTAGCACTCTGGGAGGCTGAGGCGGGAGGATTGCTCAAGGTCAGGAGTTCGAAATCAGCCTGAGCAAGAGCAAGACCCCGTCTCTACTAAAAATAGAAACAAATTAATTAGACAACTAAATATATATGTGGAAAAAATTAGCCAGGCATGGTGGCACATGCCTGTAGTCCCAGCTACTCGGGAGGCTGAGGCAGGAGGATTGCTTGAGCCCAGAAGTTTGAGGTTGCTGTGAGCTAGGCTGACGCCACCATACTCTAGCCAGGCAACAGAGTGAGACTCTATCTTGGAAAAAAAAAAGAGCACGGGCCCTGAGCCAGGTGGCTTAGCCCTATCGTGGCTGTGGGACTTTGGCAGGTCGCTTACATTTTAGAGCTTTGGTGTCTTCATTTGCACAATGGGGACAGTCCTGACCTCCCCTTGCAGGGTGGCAGTGAGATCTAAACAGCCATCTGCACATAGCTTGCTCAGTGCCTGGGCATGGTCAGAGCCTGGACACAGGCGCTCAGAGACAGGACCAGGATGGGCACCCAGGCCACAGCTCCCTGACCGTGGCCCAAGCTGCTGGAAGGCAGAAACCCTGGACTGCTGGACCGTGTGCATCCTCCGTATCAGGCAGCACATGACCCAAGAGCCAGGGGTCTGTGCTAACCCTGGAACTCGGGACTGGGCACTTATTTCACCCAACTTCGGTTTCTCCAACTTTAAAATGGGGATATTCAGCCTTGTTCCAGGTGCTTCAAGGCTCAGGGGAGGGGTGGTCCTAGCTAAGGGTTGGCAACCATTTACTGCAAGGATGGACAGGCAAGTGGGAGGACAGGTGGGAGAGGCTAAGGGACAGGTGAGTAGGGATGGGCAGGGCTTACTTACTCGGTCGGTATAGGCTCGGTGGGCCTGCACCGCCTTCCGTAGCAGCTCCACCTTCTCATGCTCCTAGAGGGGTGCAGGGCAGAGGGAGCTGAAGCACTGTCCCTTCCCTGTTCCTCATTCACCACAGGAACCCACTCCCCACCCAGCATGAGATTCTGAGCTCCTCAAATGCACATCTTGGAACTGCAAACTCTTCAGTCCTTAGCCAGGGCCTGACATATAGCAGATGCTTACTGCTGACAAATAAGTGAATGAACAATCAAGTGGCTCCCTTTTCTCTTTGGCTGCCAGGAAGCTCAGAGCTAAATTCACGGCTCCATCTTCTGTTAGATTCTCAGTGCTCATCACAGAGTTAGAATACCATAGGCGCTCAGTCAATGTATGTTGACAGAGTGAACAGGAAGGGAGGTAGCTCTAGCCCAGCTCATCCACCCTTGCCCCAGACTTCTCACCGTCACATTAGAGTCATCCATGGCCTTGACGAAGGCCAGTGAGTCTATGGAGGCCGAGCGGATGGTGTCTGTGCGGCCCAGGTGAAACATGCGCAGGGAAGCACTTTCGTAGGTGGCACACGCCTGCTTGTAGATCCTGGGTGGGAAGCAGAGCTGAGCATATCCCTTGGAGGTTGCCCCCCCACCTTATCCCCGCTTCTTGGGCATGTGGGGTGCACCTGTAGTAGGCCAGCTGTAGGGCCATCTGGATGAAGGCATCTGGGCTCAGCTTCTCAGACTTGGGGAAGTCCTTTCCAAAGTGGTGGAACACCATCACTGTGATGTCCAGGTCCTGGATCATGCTGGGGGGTGGGCGGAGCGGGTGAGAAGTGGGCTCCCGGCAGCCCCCGCCAACCCCTGGGAAGGCCTGGCAGCACGGTCTCAGAACCAGACAGAGCATAATGACAGACCTGGCACAAGAGCCTCTCAGGCTCGAGGGCCCTGGCCTTGTCCACCCAGCATGGGGTGGGGGGGTGGGCACTCACATGCTGAGGTTCTGCTTGGCCTTCTCAATGTCGTTCTTGATCTCGGGGGTGATGTTGAACCGCAGCTTCTTGGGCATGGGCAGGGGCACCATGGGAGACCGAACGAGCTCGGGCTTCTTCCTGCGGGGGATGTGGGGCCTTAGCCTCGTGGGGGCCCCCAGAGCCTGGGTCTGTGGAGGGACTAGGGTGGGGAGGGTGGGTCCCTGAATCTGAGGGCAGCCCAGGGAGACTCGGGCTGGCTTTTCTGGAAACTGCCTTCACTCCAGCTTCAGGGGGCCAACGGAGGTCTAGGGAGGAGAAGGGGCTTGTCTAAGGTCACACAGCTGGAAAGTGGCAGAGCCAGAATTCAAACCCACATCTGCTGGCTTCCTTTGAAAAAGCAGATTCCTAGGTGCAAAGGAGAGTGACACTCCCCTACGAGCCAGGTCTGCCACCTGTGTGTCACCTGTCACCAGGAGCTGGGCAGGATGTTACTATACTCACGTGAACTCCATCACATGGTCCACAAGGGAGACAATGGGGGGCCCCTCCGCCGCTGCGTGCTCATAAACGAGCCCACAGGAGCCATCTTCTGCCACGATGAACTGCAGAAGTGGGAACTCCATCAGCCCCAGGTCCCTGTAGGAGGCTCCCCACCCAGCCACTAGCTAGTTGGGTCTCCTGGGAAGGGCCTGTCTGCAGCCATCTCAACGTTGGGGTCATGCTGACTTATTACTGTGACTAACGATGGCTGACACTCACTGGGTGCGTGGGGCGGCCGTCCCAGGCATGTCCCATGCTACGCACACCTGAGTCCTCAGAACTATCCTGCCGGAAGGGTCTACCGCCACCCCCTTTCACAGGTGCAGAGGGGAAACGATCTCGTCGCCCTGCCTGACCCCACGTGCCACGCTCGCTAGGATGTGCTGAGGGTGGCAGCCGTTTCCGGGCCAGCGGGCAGGACAGTAATGACAGGCTGGCTGCCTGGTAGTTACAGCGGCGTCCAGCCTGCTGGCTTCCCACCTGCTTTACAAGCTGGGAGGCCAGGGACGCCGGCCGGGAAGGGCAGGAAGTCGTGAGGCCGCAGAGGACCACGTTAGGTGCGTGTGTGGGCGGGAGTCACGGCCCTACTGGGTCCTCACCTGCAGCGTCTTGTCGAACCAGCGGTTGCCGCTGTTGAGATTGCTGCCGCCCCCGTGCAGCATCTGGCCGGCCACGCGGCTGCGGTACACGTCCTCAGAGACCCTCGGCACGGGCGCGTCCAGGCACACGGTGAAGATGCTCCTCTGGATGGAGCGCACCGACTCCCGGTTCACCTTGTCTTTGGCGGCATGGGGGGTGGGGGCACAAGATGGGGCTGAGTCTCAGGGCCTGGGGAAGACACGTCGCCCCTCTGTGGCCTCCTGCCTGGGGCTCTTCTGGCCTGTCTGTGTCCCTCTGGGGATGGGGAGCCCCCCACCTCAGGGAGCCTCCAGGGAGTTCACTACGTGCCGGGCCTGGGTTCAGAGCTCCGCACCCAACGGGGCCCTGCAGCCTCACAGCGAGTGCCCTGCGATGCAGGGCCAACACCCGGGCCACTGTAGGTAGACACGGCGAAAAGGAAGCCCAGGGCGACACAGGGAGCTGATATGGCAGCCTGACTCTGGGGACAATGCCCCAACCAATACCGGCTTTGGGGGCTTGGGGGACAGGAGGAGTGTGGAGACAGGGGAGGCTCCTCAGCCAGAGAACTTGGACTCTAAGCCCAACTTGCTACTTAACAGAGAGAAACTATCTTAACCAAACCGAGCCTTGGTTTTCTCATCCATAAAATGGGACTGCCAACACCTGCTCTGAGCTGAGAGCATCCAGGGGAAACGTGGCTGCCCAGGCCGGGTGCCCGGCCCAGCCCCATCATGGGAAGAGGCCTGGCTGTGTGGCCTCGCCACGAGACCCCCACCCTGGAGGCACCTTTGATGAGGGTGTTGTATGCCTTGGCCCAGGAGTTGCGGTGGTTGGAGGTCAGGATGCCCACGGGCTCCTTGTTGGTCTGCAGTGAAGAGTTCCAGATCTTCTCCAGCTGCATGAAGATCTGATCGGCAGTGAGGGGCGTCCCATCGCTGTGGTACACGTCCAGCTCAAAAAACTGTCCGGCACAGGCAGGTGGAGAGAAAGGGGCTGGGTTGGGGGGGGGTCTCAGGCTGAGCGCAGCCTCTCCCGCCCCTGCCCACTCACAGCACCTGGCCCGGCGGAGGGGGTGGAGTCAGGCCGAGAGGAGAGGGAGGAGGCCCTCGGATCGCCCTCCTGTGCTGGCCTCCCTCGGGCTGGAGGGAGCCGCCTGGGCACCCAGTGAGCCGCCAGGGGACGGCATTCCTGGGGCACATGGGCGTGTGGACTGGGGGTGTTGGTCCTGCCCCCCCCTCCCCTGCAGCAGGGCCACCCACCTGGTAGTTGTGCACCACGGTGATGTGCGAGGGCGGTTTCTTGGTCTTGCTGAAGTTGCTGACCGAGTCCTGCTTGGGGCCCGGCACGCGGCATGAGGACAGGATCTGATAGTACTGGTTCATGCACAGGGGCTTCCCCCCCAGGTACTCCACAGGCAGAGTCTCACTGCAGGGGCAGAGGGACAGCGAGGGGCCGCTGGGCATGGAAGTGGGGAGGAGAGCAGGGCCAGGCCAAGTCGGGGCTCACGGTCAGTGTCCCTGCGACCCCCTCAGCACGAGCAGCGGACCCATCAAGGCACATCATCTGGAAACTCCTTCCCTTCCCCTCTCTGGGCTTGTTTGCCAAGGGGGAGGTGAGGCAGTGAGTCATCTCCCGGGTCTCTCTCTTTTTTTTTCAAAGAGACAGGGTCTCACTCTATCACCCAGGCTGCAGTGCAGTGGTGCGATCATAGCTCACTGCAGGCTGGAACTTCTGAGCTTAAGGGATCCTCCTGCCTCAGCCTCCTGAGCAGGTGCAACTATAAGTAGGCGTGTGCACCACGCCTAATTTAAAAAAATTTTTTTTGTAGAGATGGGGGTCTCACTATGTTCCCCAGGCTGGTCTCAAACTCTTGGCCTCAAGTGATCCTCCTGCCTCGGCCTCACAAAGTACCATGTTTCCCCAAAATAAAACAGGGTCTTATATTTATTTTTCCTCGAGAAGATACCCTAAGGCTTATTTTCAAGGGGTGTGTTATTTTTTTTTTAAATACAGTACAACGATCCACATTTATTATTCAAAGATAGTTAAGTCATCTTCTTCTGGAACATCATCATAACTCTCCAAACCCCGAATTCCATCCTGAACTTCTTGTGACTCTATTTCCTTTAGAACCATTGGCCCCAATCTCTCATGTCGAGCAATAGAGCTCTCATGGGGCAGATGAGAAGGGCTGCTCGTCTTCTATACTGCTCCACGATGAGATGCATGGGTTGTACAGACATACTGGGTAGCCACGCCCATCACTAGGTCTTACTTTTGGGGTAGGGCTTATATTGCACAAATGCTTAGAAATCGTGCTAGGGCTTATTTTTTTCATTATTATTATTATTTTTTGAGACAGGGTCTCACTTTGTTGCCCGGGCTAGAGTGAGTGCCGTGGCGTCAGCCTAGCTCACAGCAACCTCACACTCCTGGGCTCAAGTGATCCTCCTGCCTCAGCCTCCCAAGTAGCTGGGACTACAGGCATGCGCCACCATGCCCGGCTAATTTTTTCTATATATATTAGTTGGCCAATTAATTTCTTTCTATTTATAGTAGAGACAGGGTCTCACTCTTGCTCAGGCTGGTTTCGAACTCCTGACCTGGAGCAATCCGCCCGCCTCGGCCTCCCAGAGTGCTAGGATTACAGGCGTGAGCCACTGCACCCGGCCAGCTAGGGCTTATTTTATGGGTAGGGCTTATTTTTGGGGAAACACGGTACTAGGATTACAGGCATGACCCACTGCACCCGGCCACCGGGTCCTCTTTGGATAGGATGGGGCAGGATTACCAGGAAGAGGTCCCAGCAGCCGGAGTAGAGGGCAACCCCAGTGCCCAGTCTCCCAAACACCAACAGAAGCTGGGCCCACAGGAAGTGAAAGTAACAGGGCTCTGCAGCAGGGCTTGGGTCAGGGCTCTGGTCAGGGGTGGCTGTGGTAATTAGGCAGGCCTGGGCAGGGGTGGGGCTGCTCACTTGTCAATCATGGCCTTGAACACCAACACGCCCTCGATGAGCTTGGCAGCAAATCTGGAAAGATCAATTAGAGATTATAAGCTATGTGACACCCTGAGGAGGGCCCTGGGCCAGGGACACCTGCTGGATGAGGGGAAGGCCTAGTCTTCCCACCTTCCTCACTGCTCAGGGAGAGCCTCTGCAGCTCAGGGCAGGGGCTGGGAGTCCCGGCTGGCCCCAACAGCAGTGTGCATGTGGCTGGAGTATGTGTCAGTGGGCTGGTTCCACCCGCAAAGGGCCTGAGTTCCTGAACCACAGCCTGGAGTCTGGAAGGTGACCTTTGTACATAGTCCCCTTTTCCACATTCGGCAATGTCACTCTGCCCTAAAGCATCAGTTATCGAGGGACCCAGGCCCCTGGCGGTGGTGAAGGGGTGGAGAGTGGCTCAATGTGTCACCAGGACACCTCTCTCAGCCTGGCCTTCCTCAACGGACTGTATGGGGTTATAAAGATGGGATCTCTGACCCACATCAACCAGCCCCAGTGCCTGGGCTGCCCCGGTCCCCAACATTCGGACCACTGGCTTGAGTTCCTGGGTCAGAACCAGCCCTTCCCCAGGTGCCCTGGTCCCTTTAAGAGAAGCAGGTGGTGGCAGAAGTGGCTGGTCCTTGGGCAGGAGATCCCTGTCACTGGTATTTTTATCTCTGGTAGGACTGGAATAAGAGCCAGGGCAGGTGACCAGCCCCAGTGCCTGGGCTGCCCCGGTCCCCAACATTCGGACCACTGGCTTGAGTTCCTGGGTCAGAACCAGCCCTTCCCCAGGTGCCCTGGTCCCTTTAAGAGAAGCAGGTGGTGGCAGAAGTGGCTGGTCCTTGGGCAGGAGATCCCTGTCACTGGTATTTTTATCTCTGGTAGGACTGGAATAAGAGCCAGGGCAGGTGACATGGCTGAATGTGGAAAAGGGGACTGTGTACAAAGGTCACCCTGTGGCCAGCTGAGCAGAGTGGGGAGGAGGGGCGGATCTTGGGGTGGTGGGGAAGCCTCAGGCTTGGGCGAGGGAGTGCCTTTGGTCTGAGGTTTGTTGGTTAACAGGAAGTTTTAAAGCTGGATGGACCCTGCGTCCTGTGCAGGATCAGCCAATCCTGAACGGGGATGTGGGCAGCTCCCTTCACTGCTCTGAGCCGAGGTGTCCCCTCGGTGGGGATGATGGTCCCCCTCCATAAGGCTGTTCGTGGGGATGAATCGTGAAGGGGGTCAGGGCCCTTCTGATCTCCAGGGGAAGTGGACTTGAGGGCCCTGGAAGCACCCAGAGCCCTGCCCCCGCTGCCTCAGGGCCTCCCAGCCCCAGTCGCTCACCTGAGCTGGCCCTGCACATCCACGAAGTCCTGCTTGGGCAGAATCACGCCCGGGCTGGAGTAGATGACCACAGGCTGGCGGAACTGGAGGTAGGCTGTCCTGAGCCACCACTCAGACAGCTGGGGAAGGACCAGAGCCAGTCAGGAGCAGGCGGGACCTGGTGCCCCTTCCTCCCTGGGGCCAGAGGACCCGGGCCATGCCCCATTCCCCCTTTACAGAGATTCTCAAAGTGAGTGCTTAGGCTGGGCGAGGTGGCTCATGCCTGTAATCCTAGGACTCTGGGAGGCCGAGGCGGGCGGATAGCTTGAGGTCAGGAGTTTGAAACCAGCCTGAGCAAGAGTGAGACCCTGTCTCTACTATAAATAGAAAGAAATTAATTGGCCAACTAATATATATAGAAACATTAGCTGGGCATGGTGGCACATGCCTGTAGTCCCAGCTACTCGGGAGGCTGAGGCAGGAGGATTGCTTGAGCCCAGGAGTTTGAGGTTGCTGTGAGCTAGGCTGACACCACGGCACTCACTCTAGCCTGGGCAACAAAGCGAGACTGTCTCCAAAAAAAAAAGTGAGTGCTTAGATCCAGAACACCCTCCTCACCCCCCACCTAACCAGCATCTTTGTCTGACCCTGGGCGGTCGTTAGCAGGAGAAATTGACAACACTGTTGAGAAAGAGATTGAGAGAAAGGGTGGAAGAAAACCTGAGAGGAGGGGAAGGGGCAGCAAGGTGAATGATTCTTCTTTATCTTAAAAATTTTCTGGGGTCGGGCGTGGTGGCTCACGCCTGTAATCCTAGCACTCTGAGAGGCCCAGGCAGGTGGACTGCTCAAGGTCAGGAGTTTGAAACCAGCCTGAGCAAGAATGAGACCCCCATCTCTACTAAAAATAGAAAGAAATTAATTGGCTAACTAAAAATGTATAGAAAAAATAGCTGGGCATGCCTGTAGTCCCAGGTGTACTAGGTGTGTGCTGGGGGGTGTTGCAGTCAGCACAGAAGGCTCAAGTAGACAGTCACTGGGCGTGTACACAGCCCCAAGATAGGAGCCTTTAACACCACACCAGGGGCCGGACCCGGTGGCTCACGCCTGTAATCCTAGCACTCTGGGAGGCCGAGGTGGGCGGATTGCTCGAGGTCAGGAGTTCAAAACCTGAGCAAGAGCGAGACCCCGTCTCTACTATAAAAATAGAAAGAAATTAATTGGCCAACTAATATATATAGAAAAACATTAGCCGGGCATGGTGGCGCATGCCTGTAGTCCCAGCTACTTGGGAGGCTGAGGCAGCAGGATTGCTTGAGCCCAGGAGTTTGAGGTTTCTGTCAGCTAGACTGACGCCATGGCACTCACTCTAGCCTGGGCAACAAAGCGAGACTCTGTCTCAAGAAAAACAAAACAAAACCCACCACACCAGGGATGGTCCCCCGGAGAGACCCAGTCCCAGCTCCTCCCTAGTCCTAGCTACTAGGGAGGCTGAGGCTGAGGCAGTAGGATCGCTTGAGCCCAGGAGTTTGAGGTTGCTGTGAGCTAGGCTGATGCCATGGTACTCTAGCCCGGGCAACAGAGTGAGGCTCTGTTTCAAAAAAAAAAAAAAGTTTTCTGTCAATGACTCTAAGACATTAATAAATAAAAGTGTATGCCTGAATAGATCAAAAGGAAAAAAGGGAAAGATATATAAAAAGAAAGTCCAGTGAGTGAGTTTTGGTTGTCACCAGCTGGGACTTCTCCCAGGAGGCAGGAGACCAGGGTGTTAGAGCAGCCTGAGGGACTCTGGCCTCCCTGTGGCCTCCCACTTTGATCTTAAGCTCAGGCCACTCCTGAGGGGAGCTCACTGCGAGAGTAAGTCATGACAAAATGTGGGTGACACACTCTGAGTCTCCACCCTGGCTGCCCGTCCTCTGCCCCGGGGTGAGGGTCTCTCCGGGGGACCATCCCTGGTGTGGTGTTAAAGGCTCCTATCTTGGGGCTGTGTACACTCCCAGTGACTGTCCGCTTGAGCCTTCTGTGCTGACTACAACACCCCCCAGCACACACCTAGTACACCTTTCTCTGTCCCTCAAGGGACAGGGACAGGTCCCTCAAGCCCCGGAGAATTCCAGGTCCCCAATAGCCTTCCTCACCCCACTGCAAACAGCAGCAGGATGTGGACAGATTCCTGTGTGGCACTGGGCCACTGGCCTTCAGCCCTTGGCAAGGAGTGAGGGGGAGGCAACTTGTCCCAGGCTGCACAGCAGGTGACTGCTGGCCTCTTAAGGATTGGGCCCCTGAGTCAGCCAGACCTGCCTGTGTAGCACAGGGCCTCCCTGAGAGCCACTGTGTGGCTCTGGGCTTTCGGTCTACCTCAGTGGGACTTTCGTCATCTGTAGATCAGGGAGGAGCAGACAGGAGTTCCCTCCCCTTGGGGACTCAGCTAGGGGCTCATATTCCACTAGGGATCCCTGAGTCTCTGGCCAGAGCCTGGGAGAAAGGGGAGACCCTGCAGGTATGGGCATTCCTTCAGTGAGAATCTGCCAGGTGGTGGCAGAGGCCCTTCAGTGGCCCTCTGAGGGGAGAGGGAGCCCCCTTAGCCACAAGCTTATGTTGAAGGAGGAGTCCGAAAGCTAAACTAAGTTGGAAAACCAGTGGGCCCCACACTCTCCAGGGCCCTTGCAGGACAAGTATCCTAATTCCAGAGTCTGAGGCCCTGACCTACTGAGGATCCTTAAATACCACACAAGGGCCAATCCCCCGCCTTCTGGTGTGCAGCCTCCCACCACCCCGAGCCACAGGCTCAGAGTGCCACCTGCCCACCCCATGTCACCTCCTTTAGCACAGTATTCACAGGGCCAGAACCCAGCTCTGCTGTTCTCCCACAAGCCAGTTTCTGCCTTGGTCATCGGGATCTTGGCAAATATCCTCCACCCCAAACCCCACTGACGTTTTACATTAGGACTCTACCTACTCCCACCCCATCAGCAAGTGTCATTGGCACTGCCTCCAAAATACTCCTGGGCCTAATGACTTTTCTCCTGGCCCTGGGAGTGCCAGGCCCAGCCTGCCACATCTACCTCGGGGCAATGGCACTGCCTTTCCCCTCCCCTCTGCCTCCCACACTTGCTCAACCCAGCAGCAGGGCCCTGTTGTTCATCTCTGTGTAGGAGTATGAGATGCACATAGAAAAGCAAGTGTCCACACCAAACACACCTGTGTAGCAGATCGGACACAGAACCAGGGCACTCAACACTGAAGGACACCCACCGCCTCGGGAAGCTGTCCCCCTGAGCTCAAGTCTCCCTCTGAGCTCAAGTCTGAGATCCTTCTACCTGGCAGCCCCTGGCCCCACCCTCCACTCCTGCCTCTGTCCTCGCACACATAGGTGTTGCCACCTTAGTCCCTGCTGTTCCCTCTCTTTGTCTGAGACCCTCATGTCTCAGGCCGCTCCCTGCCCCTTCTTGACGCCCGGCATGATGACACTGCCATCCCCAGCCCTCCTCTTCCTCTTGACTCTTTATATTTCCAGAGAACTTCTCTGCCTGAAACCACCTTGTCCACTGACTTGCATCCTGTCCGTCACCTTCTCTCCCCACTGCTTGCAAGTCGGCTCCAAGAGGCCAGAGACTGTGTTCTCGCTCCTCCAGCACCCTGCCGAGTGCCAGGCACGGAGTCAGTGTTGAGGAAGTTCGGTGGAGCAAACGGATGAATGTGCCAGAGCAGCTGGTACTGGAAAGTTCTGTGTGTGCAGCTAGCTACAGGGCGCAGCCCGGGTGCCATCCCACTCACCCAGTTGTCTGTCTTCCTGGCCCTGCGCTCCAGCCCCTTCTGCAGGCGTTCCCCCACGCCGCCTGAAGCCTGAAACTCGTCCACCAGCTTCTTGGTCTGCGCCCACTCCTCCTCGCTCACGATGGGCTGCAGCGCCTTGAGGTAATGGTCCAGCGACTGCTGGAGAGGGGGCACGGGCAGCCGCGGCAGCGCATCCTGGTGTGCCTTGAAGCGGCCGGACACCTTCGTCAGGGAGGAGGGCTTGAGGAAGCCCAGAGGCTTCACCTGCAGGCAGAACATCCTGTTCTTTCTCTCACCAGCTCGGGGAGCTCCACAATCCCAAAGCCGCAGCTCTGGGCACTTATGTGCCCATCCTTGGGGGCAGAGATGGCCTCTTGGGTGGAGCCTTCCCTGGCCTCCCAGCCCTCAAGCTGTAGGTGTCCCCGCCTCTCAGGGGCCTGGAGACACAGGTAGGGATGGAGGAGGGCGGGGTGTGGCCACTGGTCTTGGCAGAGCTCAGGGGAAACAAGACAAGATGAATGGCCCCTTTGGGCTGGCAGAGGCGCGGGGGACCGCCCACCTGTTTGGATAACCAGATCCCGCCTTCCTGTCCCTGGGAAGAGAAGCCAGTCAGCAGAGGGGAGACTGCTCCTTCTCAGAGGGCCCCACCTCCTTCTCTCCCACCCTTTCCAGGTTGAGAAGAGGAGGCGAGAAGACAGAATCAGAGGGAGCCAGGCAATGACAGTGTCCTTGGGGAGGGGGGCCTCAGGCTTTCTCCTGCCTTGTGGGGGGCAGTGGTGACAGTGTGAGGACAGTGCTGCAGCAAGAGAGAGCTGGGTGGTCTGGCATGGAGGGTGAAAGGTGGCAGAGAGAGAGGGAGCCCAGCAGACTTTGGAGATGAGCAGGAAGAGAGACGGGTGGGGGCCGAGGCTGCTGGCACAGTAGGCGGGCAAGCGGCAGAAGCTCCGTTCTGTTCCATACCTTCTCTCTCTGCTGCCCGTCCTCCTCCATGGCAGGACTGAGGTCCTGAGCCCTGTCTGTCTGCCTTGGCTGGATCTCTAAGCCTAACTGTGCTACCAAGTGGGCGAGCAGAACCTAGCAAGAGGCAGCCACTTGCCTGGGCTGGAAAGAGAAGACAAGAGCCAAGGTTCAGGGGGAGGCAGGGTGGCACAGGTGATGGCTGTGGTGGCATCTGGGGTTGTGGCAGTGACAGGGGAAGCTACTGGACGCCAGAAGCCGCTCCACCCTCCCGAGCTTCCAGAAGTAGAGGACTGGGGAGCAGTGAGGAGGCTGCTGGTGGGCAGTGCGGCAGGAGAAAACCTGGAATGCTCTCTCCTTTCCTCTCGGGGTGGGCTCAGTGCCAGGGAGGCAGGCCAAGAGGCATTAAAAAATTCACCTGTCAGAATCTACATGGCTCTTTCTGACAAAAGAAAACTTGGCTGGAATACTATACCACAGCCCTAAAATCAGTCCTGAAATCAGGGTTGGTGCAAGGGAGCAGACATTAGGAAAGAACCATCAGCAGACAGGGGCCACCAAGAGCCCTGCCCATTTCCTTATCTTTCCCACAATCTTGGGACCCTTCTGGGCCACCACTCTATGAAGGCTGTCTTCTCTGAGCTGCTGCTCATTTAGCTGGGGGCCAAGAGTGGAGGACTTTTGGTATGAAAAATAAAACCAAATGGCCAGGCACAGTGGCTGACACCTGTAATCCTAGCACTTGGGGAGGCTGAGGTGGGAGGATGGCTTGAGCCCACAGGTTCAAGGCTACAGCGAGCTGTAATTGTGCCACTGCACTCCAGCCTGGCGGACGGAGTGAGACTGTCTCAAAAAAACCAAAGCAACCGAACAAAAAATAAACCAAGGGATGCTGGTTTGGGGGCTTGACAAGACTTGAATTAGCAGATCCAGGGGACTCTGGCCAAGTTCCTCCTTGCCTCAGTTTCTCCAGCAATGAAGTAATCAGGCCAGTCTGGTCCTAGAGGACGACCTGGCAGTGGGATGGGACACAGCTGGGGTGGCAGTGGCAAGGGTGAGTACAGCTCAGGGTGCTGGAACACCTGGCAGCTGAGCCCCCAGGTCTGCACCTGGACGTGTACCCTCAGCCCTCTGGCCCCACAATGTCTGTCTGAGACAGAGCGAGACACAAGCAGAGATATGCTTGGATCAGAGAGGAAAGGAACCCAGATCAGCATGGCAGAATTACTCACTCCAGGGTGCCCCGTGGAGGGGGTTGAGGGGGTTACATGTGGACAGGCTGGGGAAGGAGGCTGCCACCTGCTGCCTCCTGCCAGCCCGAGGCCTTTCTGAGCAGCCCAGCTCGATGCCTCCTCGTGAGCTCCTCTGGCCACACACAATTCCCCAGCGGACATTTGATAAACCCCAAGGAGGCAGACCAACTGGATTCGGCCAGGGAAGTGGCTCTGGCGCACGTAGAGACGGCTCAGCCCGGGCGCGCGAAGGGTGTGTGAGTCAGAGAATAACTGGGAGACTGAACGCCCGGGCTGGGCTCTCCCCGCCTTGGGTCGGGGTCTAAGAGTGGGGTGCTGTCTGAAGCCAGGGTCCCCGCTGTCTTTTCCGGGTCGTTGGAACTGAGTGCCGCAGATGTGGGTTCGATCCCGGCTCTGACCTTGTGCCTCAACCCCCTCCTATGCCAAACGGGACGCCCACCTGCCGACCCCTCCCCACCAGCTGGAGGCCGGGTGGGACAGCGGCCGCCCCGCTGCGCCGCCCTAGCGGCCCGTTTCCCTACGCGAGCGCTGCGCGGCCCGCCCTTCCCGTCCAGGGCCCTCCGGCCGGGCTGCGGCCGCACTCACCACGGTCCTGGCGGCGAAGGCTAACATCTTTGCAGTGCGCTCCGCCTCCCGCGCTGGGCAAAGTCCGCGCTGTCGCGGCCGCTGGGGCTTCGGTGGGTTTCTGTTGGAGCCTCCGGGCCAAGGTCGCCGCGTCACCGCCGCCAGCCGGTAGAAGCGGTCCCGCGCCCACCCAGCGGGCCCGGCCGGCGGCGGGCAGGCGGCCCGGGGAGCGCGGCTCGCGGGGCGGCTTCGGCGGCTAAGCGGCCCCGGTCGGCAGCGCGGACGGCGGGGCCGGCGGGCCGCGGGCGGGGCTGCCGCCGGGGGCGGGGCCGGCGCGGCCGAGGGCTAGTTAGCGGTTGGGACCCCGCGAGGCGCGGGTGCCCGAAAAGAGGGCTGGGCGAGGTCACCATGCCGCTCTCTCCCTCCCGCCTCCAAATGCCGTCTAAGATGTTGGAGGCAGTGGTATGCACCCCTCCAAGTTGGTGTCCTTGAGCGTAACTCTCAGAGTGGTAGGAAGGCACAACCATGTTGACCGGGAAATGTCAGTGTCACCCACAAAGATGACAGGTGGGACCTGCCCTGCAAAAACGTGGCTGCGCACCAACTAAACTTGACTCCCCGCAAAAGCATGGCGGCCACTGCAGGGCGGGAGCCGGCCGGGCGGATGTTGGTGCGCATGCTCCCCGGTGCCCCGCACTAATATGGCCGCCGCCACCGTCAGAGCCGCCGCCGCGAGCCGGCCGTTGGTGGGCATGCTCCCTGAGTGCCCCGCACCAACATGGCGGGCGTCTTCGCTGGGGTGACTTTAATTCTCGGTGTTCGGTTATAGCCGGCCGGCGCTTATTTCTCTTCGGAAGGCTCGGAACCTGTGGTGTAGTCGCGGAAGGGAGGGTGGGTTCCGGGGGAGAAAGGTGAGAGGGGACTGCAGGCATCCGGGCCGGCTCCTGGCGGGAGCAAGATGGCTGAGGGCGAACGGCAGTCGCCGCCAGGTAGGGCCGGCTGGGCCGGGCCGGGTGGGGTGGGGACGCGGGGGCGGTGCCAGGCGCGGGGGCGGGGAGCGGGTGTGGTGTGGGGGGGCTCAGGCGGGAAAGGGTCCGGAGATGGAGGAACTCGAGGGGCAAAAGTTTGTGGGCCCCGAGGTGGAACAGGAGTTGAAGGGCCTTAATGGAGAGTTGGGGGAGCCGCTGGAGGAGAGGGCAAGAACCAGGGGGCTGCAAAGGGCTGGTGGGTGGGCCTCGGCCCTGGGATTTGGGGAGTGCATGATGGGCAGCGCGGTGGCCAGAAAGGGAGGTCTTTTCCACATCTGGGTAGTGAGTGCTTGAGTAAGCTGTTGACCTGCTGGGGAAGTTGCCAGGGATGCGGACGAAAGGTGATTCATTCGCTGTTTTCTGTATTGGACCCTGCTGGGAGGCGGTGCTCTCCGGGTCTGTGCCTGCCTCGCCGGCATTTTCAGCCCTCCTCCACGCCCTACCCACTCTTCATCCACCTGTTCCTCTCCTTCTTGGAGGCTGGGCTCTGGGGTTTCGATTGCCGAGAATTTATTGGGAGAAACCGCCCTTAGTGTCTAAACCACTAATTTAAAAAGGCTGGTTGTGCAAGGAGATGAGAGTCTCTCTCTGGCATCACCTTCTGTAACTTTTATTTACACCCTGGCCTCTTTTTAGTTTATCTCATAACTGGGATGGAGGTGGGAGGGAGTGATCTTGTTATAGAGACTTTCCTGGAGTAGGGGAAGGCTGTTTGCTACCCCGCCTTGAGCTCAGAAGGACTGACCATAGAAAACTTAAAATTCTGACCGAGGGGCAAATAAGTTGGCCAAACACAGCTGATATTTTGAAAGCATTTGCTAATCCTTCTAACTTGTCTCAAATTTTGTGATCCCTGGGAAGGTCTCAGAAGAGAGGAATTTTAAAAATCAGATGTGGCATCCTTACCATGCCCCCAAACATTGATGAACAAAGAGCTAGGTTTGGTCTGTTAGTGCATTCAAAACCAGACATTTATCGTATAATATTTTTGTACAAAACCTTTGTTCATGTGACCCTTGAAGTTCTGGTAATGACATCAAGAGATATGAGATATAATACAACCAGAATTATCAGTGAGATGAATGTGTCTCTGAAGATGAATAGGGGTGAGGTAAAGAGAGAACCTGTGCAGTGAGAGAGAGGGGACGGCTCAGGGAGATTATCTATAGCTGGAAAGATTGAGGTCCCTGGAGGTGGTCCTCCTTTGAAGTTGGAGACAGGACTTTTCGGAACAAGTGGAAAGAAGTTCTTAACTTAGTATAGTGGTGAAAATGTTAGATTTTTGAGTCACACCAGTCAGGCTCTGCCTGGCAAGTCACAGCCTCTGTGAGCCTCAGTTATCTCGTAAAATGAGGCTCCTGTACTTTCTTCATAGAGTTCATAGTGTGCATTCATTCAGTAAGAAGATGTGAGAAAAGTGTCGGACATGGTAGGTAGTCAGTAAATGGTTTTTTTTTTTTTTTTTGAGACAGAGTCTCACTTTGTTGCCCAGGCTAGAGTGAGTGCCGTGGCGTCAACCTGGCTCACAGCAACCTCAATCTCCTGGGCTCAGGGATCCTACTGCCTCAGCCTCCCTAGTAGCTGGGACTACAGGCATGCGCCACCATGCCCGGCTAATTTTTTTTGTATATATATTTTTAGTTGGCCAATTAATTTCTTTCTATATTTTGGTAGAGACGGGGTCTTGCTCAGGCTGGTTTTAAACTTCTGACCTCGAGCAATCCGCCCGCCTCGGCCTCCCAGAGTGCTAGGATTACAGGCGTGAGCCACCGCGCCGGCCGTAAATGGTTTTTGTTTTTTTATTAAAACAATTTTTTTTTCACTTTTTTTTTTTTTTTTTTGAGACAGTCTCACTTTGTTGCCCGGGCTAGAGTGCCTTGGCGTCAGCCTAGCTCACAGCAACCTCAAACCTCAAGCGATCCTCCTGCCTCAGCCTCCCAAGTAGCTGGGATTACAGGCATGCGCCACCATGCCTGGCTAATTTTTTTTTTCTGTATATTTTTAGCAGTCCTAGTAATTTCTTTTTATTTTTAGTAGAGAGGGGGGTCTCACTTTTGCTCCGGCTGGTCTTGAATAGAACTCCTGAGCTCAAACGATCCACCCACCTCCTCACCTCGGCCTCCCAGAGTGCTAGGATTACAGGCATGAGCCACTGTGCCCAGCCTTCAGTAAATGTTGATTCCTGCTATCCTTTTCAAAGTTTCAAAGTAATACAGGTTGAACATGTAGACCATTTCCCAAATGGTAGTTGATAATACTGTATATTTTACTCTTTGGTGGTTTTTTAGGAGCAACTCTAAAATTCTGGATGTTTCCATCTTGTACTATGAGGTTGTAGAGGATCCACTGTTCCTTGGCACCTTGTCAGAGACAGAATCTGAGGCTAGAGAGACTGTGGGTGTGTCTTCATTTATCACAGTCCTATCTTTGAAGCCTTGTTTCTTCTGTTTGGGATTGTGTATTCTGGCAATTTATGTGTGTTTCACCAGTAGTTTGTTGCAGTGCTTCTTGGAAGGTAGCCTTTTGTTGGGGAACAGAGAGTCTGGTCTGGCGGCCATGAAATATGCCTGTGAAATGATGTCAGGAGATCTTTCCCCTGTCAGGGATCAGTTTTCTCAGACTTACAAATGGGCTATGTTCCCAAAGATCATTTGCAAGTTGATTATTTGGAATGTGGAATGCATTTTCCCATAAAAGCAATGTCGTTGGGTTACCAGCCTGACCTACAAAGCTTTTTATTTAGCATCTTACTTAAAGTAGCAATTTACTAATAGTAGGGTCCTCAATTTTGGGTTCTGGGAACAGGACTTGCAGGACAGGTGGTAGGAAGAAGAGAGCCTCTGGTCTCTTTCTTTGGCCCTGGTTTGACTTTTAACTGCAGAGGATTGTCTTGCTTGTATCTCGGATTCTCTATCCTTTTCCTTAGGTCTCCAAGACTCCTGGCACTTTTCCTTTCCTCAGGACCTCTCCAGCAGGCTTTATTCCCTTAAATGTCACATGTTCCAGAGCTTTCTTAGGTCAATGTCCCTTTTTTTCCATACAGCTGATGTCAGCTAGGTTTTAGGAGAAAAGCAGTGGGACAAATTTACACTGCATTGTGAGTAACTGATAGTTCTTTTCTCTTCCTCTCTTTCTCTTTCCCTCACCTTCTGGAAAATTGTAAATTCAGGTCTACAACTCCCTATCCAAAACCCTTGGGGCTGGGTATGTTTTAGAATTCAGAGTTTTTCATATCTCAGAAAACAGCACCCCATAATCAAAATTACTTTAGCAAATATATAAATACCCTTACTAAGCGAGATACATAAAGCCTATAAATGTCCTCATTTAGGTTTAGGTATGATACCAAGTGAGCTTGTGATAAATTTATTTGAAAACTAGGTTTTCATAGCTTTTCGGATCTTGGAATTATGTAAAGGATTGAGGGCTTGTATTTTCCATGTGTTACAAAGTGACAAAGTTAAGGGAGTCCTAAGTATTGGGAAGATATCTTTGGGTAGAGAGGTGACTTCTAGTAAGTAACAGTTAGCTTTGGCATGAAGTTTGCCTCTAGGTCACCATATTGAACTGCCCTAGGTTTTCCTTTCCCTCACCTTCTAGAAAATGTAGAAACATTTAAAATGGTCTCTTTTTTCTGATTATAAAAGTATTATATACTTGTATTTAAAAGTGCTATGAGGCCGGGCGCAGTGGCTCACACCTGTAATCCTAGTACTCTGGGAGGCTGAGGCGGGCGGATTGCTCCAGGTCAGGAGTTTGAAACCAGCCTGAGCAAGAGTGAGACCCTGTCTCTACTATAAATAGAAAGAAATTAATTGGCCAACTAATATATATAGAAAAAACTAGCCCAGGCATGGTGGTGCATGCCTGTAGTCCCAGCTACTCAGGAAGCTGAGGCAGAAGGATTGCTTTAGCCCAGGAGTTTGAGGTTGCTGTGAGCTAGGCTGATGCCACAGTACTCTAGCCTGGGCAACACAGTGAGACCCTGTCTCAGAAAAAAAAAAGTGAGAGAGGAGAGAGAGAAAGAGGGAGGGAGGGAGGGAGGACGTGCGTGCAGCACGCCTGCATGTGCGTGCGTGTGTGTGTGTGTGTGTGTGTGTGTGTGTGTGTGTGTGTTGGGGAGAGGATTCCATTTACCAATTTGTTTTTTCATTTTTTTCATCAAGATTCTTCGGAGGAGAACCCTCCAGCCACTCAGAACTTCCTTATTCCAAAAAAGGAGATCCACACAGTTCCAGACATGGGCAAATGGAAGCGTTCTCAGGTACCAGTGGTGTCTGCACTGTAGGTTGGAACAGGGTGAGAAACGTGGGCTTTTTCAAAGACAGTAGTTTTCTAGGCATGAATGGGGCTATGAGCTCCTGGCCCTTCTTGCCCTTGGAACCTGAGCTGTCAGAAGCCAGGGAGTGAGGTGACAGGGGAGCTGGGTGTCCCTCTACCTCAGGGACAGCACTCAGAGATGCTTTATCCTAAAGGTCTCAGAACCAGTGCCAGGGTAACCCCGAAGAGTTCTGCTCCTGGTTCTCATAAACCATTGCCCCTGGAGTGTTACTCTACTGGCTGAAAATGAGTGTTCTCAGTGGTAAAGTGGGTCCCTTTGATTCTGGCTGCAAATAACAGCAAGTGTGGGAGCGAGGGCATCAAGGGGAGAAGAGGTTATCTCATGGACACCTTGGCCAGGGATGTGACTCAGCCTGAAAATACCTGGGAGCTGGGACTCAGAGCACTGGGCATAGACTGGCTTTCTCTGCTGCTCAGCCCAAATGGTAGGTAGAAGATAACAGCTTGTACCTCCCGTGCTTCTGTTACGGGCTGTGGAAAGACAGATCAAGAAAAAGAACATCAATTTCAAATTCTCAAGGAAGGCCTTGGGTCTACTTCCAGTTGGGCCTGACCTCTGGTCTGGTCATCTGGGCTAGAGAGTGTCACTTGTACAAAGGGCATCATTTGTACAAAGGGCAGGCAGCCTAGAAGGTTCTCTGTGAGGAGTCTGCTGTGCTTACATTGCTTCAGTGTCCACACCTTGTCCTCACTGGGGCTTGAGGCCATCCAAGCTTATCTGATTCCTCTTTCACAAGCCTGCCCTCTAAATATTTAGAGATGGTTATCATGTCTTCACCAGGATGAATGGTTCCTTCAGCTTAGGGACAGCATCGTCCCTTTAGCTGTTCAAGGATATGGTTTGAGTCCTTTTGTCATCTTGGTTGCTTTACCTCAGGATTTCTCAACCTTAGCACTGTTGACATTTTTGGGTGGATAATTCTTTGTTGTAGGGGGCTGTCATGTGCATTGTAGGATATTTAGTAACATCTCCGGCTTCTGCTCACTAGATACCACTAGCACCCATCCCCCAGTTGTCACAACCAAAAATGTCTCCACGTATTTTCTCATATCCTCTGGGAGCCAGATTGCACCAATTGAGAACCAGTGGTCTACCCTGAACCTGTTTGTCTGAATCTAAACATGGCACTTCCCCTTTTTTGCTGCTTTCTACCCTTGTATTCCAGTGTGCTCTGCGATAGGAATGATTGTGAACACTGGCTATAGTGTTCAAGGGCTCAAACTTGCTCTGGGCTGGAGAGGTGCTCTGGATAATTCCTGTGGTCTGTTGGGGGTCATTCCATGGGCTGGCAGGAAGATCCTGGTATAGACATGTTCCCTTCTAGATATTAAGTGGTTGGTTCTCAGGGCTTATCTCAGGGATTGCTGTGGCTGCCTCCAGCATCCATGTGGCTTGGACAAGCAGAGAATGAGAGGGAAAAGGGATGAAAAAGAAGATCTAGCAGCAGTCAGTTGCTCTCAGCAGTTGCTCTCAGTCAGTTGCTCTCAGCAACTGACTGAGAGCCTGCTCCAGGGGCCTGCTCCTCAGTGCTCGGAGCCTTGGTGGTATTCCTTGAACTCCTGGTTGTATGGCCTAATGGTCATTCTTTTAGCCATTCAGGTTTGGATTTAGGCTGGCTGGGTCCTAGCTCCATGTCTAATGAGATCTTAGTCTTGGGGAACCTTGGGCAAATCACTTCTTTTGGTTTCCTCATCCATAAAATGCAGAGAGCAATAGTGTCTACCTCATGGGGTTGTTGTTTAAAGAAACTGCTGGCAGTTTCTTTACTGCCAGTGAGTACTCAGTAAACACTGGTTGGAGGCCAGGCATGGTGGCTCATGCCTGTAATCCTAGCACTCTGGGAGGTGGAGGTGGGAGGATCGTTTGAGCTCAGGAATTCAAGAACAGCCTGAGCAAGAGTGAGACCCCGTGTCTACTAAAAATAGAAAGAAATTAGCTGGACAACTAAAAATATATTAAAAAAATGAGCCGGGCATGGTGGCGCATGCCTGTAGTCCCAGCTACTTGGGAAGCGGAGGCAGGAGGATCGCCTGAGCCCAGGAGTTTGAGGCTGCTGTGAGCTAGGCTGATGCCATGGCACTCTAGCCTGGGCAACAAAGTGAGACTCTGTCCCCCCCCATAAAAAGGTGCTATGTAGATCGGGCATGGTGGTTCACGCCTATAATCCTAGCACTCTGGGAGGCCGAGGCGGGCGATTGCTCAAGGTCAGGAGTTCAAAACCAGCCTGAGCAAGAATGAGACCCCTTCTCTACTAAAAATAGAAACAAATTAATTGGACAACTAAATATATATATAGAAAAAATTAGCCAGGCATGGCGGTGCATGCCTGTAGTGCCAGCTACTCGGGAGGCTGAGGCAGGAGGATCGCTTGAGCCCAAGAGTTTGAGGTTGCTGTGAGCTAGGCTAATGCCACGGCACTCTAGCCAGGGCAACAGAGTGAGACTCTGCCTCAAAAAAAAAAAAAGTGACTTGGAAAATGGAAGTCCTTTATGAATCACACCCTCTAGAGATAACCATCAATAACTTTGGTGTTTAATCCTTTAAATTTTTCCATTGCGTATACAGTCATGCATTGCTTAATGACAGGGCTGTGTTCTGAGAATGTGACATTAGATGATTTCCTCTTATGCAAATGTCGTACGGTGTACTTGCACAAAGCTAGATGGTATATATATTTTTATTTATGTGTATAATTTCCTATGAAAAACCAAATGTCCTGGCCCCGTTACTCTTCAGCTCCACGTTGTGTTTCTCCATGAAGTCCCTTCATGGGGCCGGATAGGGGGCCCCAAGTGCTGAGGACACTTTCTCCCATTCCCAGAAAGGTCGCAAGATGTTGTTTTGTGAATGCATAGAAAATTGTATTGTATAATCATTTGGTTGCATTAAAATTGGTTAACCTGCAAAAAAAAAAGATAGGTTGCTTACGGCCATGAAATCAGGCAGAAGCCTCCAAGACTGATCAAAATGAAGGGAACCTCAGACCTGGGTTCACACAGCTTCCTAGTCTACTTGTCTTGTAACTTAGACTCTTTGCACCATCTGTAAAATGGGCATAATAAGGGGAAACATCAGTCATTTCCCCTACTTGATCTACAATGCCAACATCAAGTGCCAAATATGAGGTTTCTGTATGTGCTCCACTATAATCTCATGGTAACACCATCGTGTATGTGGTCTGTTGTTGGCTGATGGAAATGTTGTTATGCAGTGCATAGCTGTACTAATATGTGTATGTGTTACTTATAATTAGTATGTATAGTTGTTTTTACAAGTATGGGATGATACTATATATAATGTAGTACAATTTTCTTTCTTTACTTTTTAATGTCTAGCCCGACTTTCCTATGTCAGCAAGATATAGATTTTATTCTTTTAAAAAGCTATGATGGGCCAGGCATGGTAGCTCACACCTGTAATCCTAACACTCTAGGAGGCCGAGGAGAGTGGATTATTTGAGTTCAGGAGTTCGAGACCAGCCTGAGCAAGAGCGAGACCCTGTCTCTACTAAAAAAATAGAAAGAAATTAGCTGGACAACTAAAAAAAATATGGGTCGCGCTCCTTGCTCCAGGCTGGTATTCGACACTCTGACCTGGAGCAATCCGCCCGTCTCGGCCTCCCAGAGAGTAGGATTACAGGCGGAGCCACCTCGCCCGGCGACATTATTTTATTTCTATTTTTTTTGAGCAGAGCCTCGCTTTGTTTCCAGGCTAGAGTGAGGCTGTGGCATCAGGTCTAGCCTCACAAACCTCAAAACTCCTGCGGGCTCAAGCAATCCTGCTGCCATCAGCTCCCGAGTATGCTGGGAACTACAGGCAATGCGCCACATGCCCGGATAATTTTTTCTATATTAAGTCTCAATGGGCCAAATAATTTCTTTCTATTTATAGGTAGGAGACAGGGTCTGCTCTGCTCAGGCTGGTTGTTGACTCCTTGACCCTCAAGCAATCCCGCCTCGGCCTCCCAGAGTGCTAGGTTATTACAGGCATGCGCTCACCATGCCGCATCAACGCAGTGTTTTGTTTTTTTTGTTTGTTTGTTTGTTTTGTTCGACGCAGTTTTGTTGGCATAGAGTGCCATGGCATCAGCCTAGCTCACAGCAGCCTCAAATCCTGGGGCTCAGGCGATCCTCCTGGCCATCCGCTTCCCAAAGCTGGGACCTACAGGCATGCACCACCATGCCGGCTCTTTTTAATATATTTTAGTTGCCAGCAAATTTCTTCTTCTATTTTTAAGTAGAACAGGGTGTCTCACTCTTGCTCAGGCTGTTCTTGATTCCTGAGCTCAACACGTCCTCCACCTCACTCCCAGAGTGCTAGGACACGGCACTGACCACCGTGCCTGGCCTCCACAGTGTTTACTGAGTCTCACTGGCGAAAGAAACTGCCAGAGTTCGTTAAAACAAACACCCTCCATGGGTCAGACCTATTGCTGCTCTGCATTTTTGGATGAGGAGAACCAAAAGAAGGATTTGCCAAGGTTCCCCAGACTAAGATCATAGACATGGAGCTAGGACCCAGCCAGCTAAACCAAACTGAATGGCTAAAACGAATGACCATTAGGCCATACAAACCAGGAGTTCAAGGAATAACCACCAAGTCCGAGCACTGAGAGCGGCCGCCCCTGGGGTGGAGAGGCTCTCAGTGCGTTGCTGAGAGACTGACCAGACTGTAACTGATGGAGCAAGCTTGAGGCTGGCGAGCACTGATCTGTCTAGGATCTTCTTTTTTCATCCCTTTCCTCTCATTCTCTGCTTTGTCCAAGCACATGGAGCTGGAGGAGCCCACCAGCAATCCTATGATAAGCCGCTGAGAACCAACAGCTTAATATCTAGAAGGAACATGTCTATACCAGGGATCCTCCTGCCAGCCCATCGGAATGACCCCCACAGACCACAGGTAATTATCCATGAGCACCTCTCCAGCCCAGAGGGCAAAGTTTGGAGGGCCCTTGAACCACTAAGCAGTGTTCACAATCATTCCTTATCAGCAGAGCACAGCTGGAATACAAGGGTAGAAAGCAGCAAAAAAGGGGAAAGTGCAATGTTTAGATTTCAGGACAACGGGTTGGGCGTAGCACTGGTTCTTCAATTTGTGCAATCTGGGCTCCCAGAGGATATGGGAAAATACGTGGAGACAGTTTTTGTGTGTGACAACCTGGGCGATGGGTGCTAGTGGTATCTGTGAGCGCAGAAGCCGGAGATGTAGCTAAATATCCTACCAATGCAGCATGACAGCCCCCCTACAACAAAGAATTACCACCCAAAATTCGTCAACAGTGTAAGGTTGAAGAAATCCTTTGAGGTAAAAGCAACAAGATGACAACAAAGGACTCAAACCATATCTTGAAACATAAGGGACGACATGTGTCCTAAGCTGACAGCAACACATTCATCCTGGTGAAGACATGATAACCATCTCGTAAAATATTAGAGGGCAGGGCTTGTGGAACAGAGGAATCAGTAACAGCTGGATGGCCTGCAAGCCCCAGTGAGGACAAGGGGGCATGAAGCAATGTAAGCACAGCTGACTCCCACAGAGAACCTCTAAGGCCTGCCCTGCCCTTGACAAACTGATGC